TGTTAGTCCAGCATATCAGGTTATATCTCCTGGTAAACGTTTTCGAAAAACGTAGGAAATAGCTTTTTCCACGTAACAAAAATGTGAGAATGTGGACATTTCACGTTGGCTTTGAAGGGAAATTTTTGAGCTTTGATTTTTATAACATATTTTCCAGTAATAACCTAGATTATTATTTTATTACTTAGTATTTGCTTTTGTGTCTGACTAACTTCTTTTAGGATTTTACACCAAAAGGAAAGATAGCTTTAAGAAAACTGAAGTCAAACAAAGCTGGTAAGAGTGTAGATACTGCTTCTTTTGTATCGACATTTTCTCTGTTGTCACAGCACAGTTGTAACAGCGTCATGATGAGCAATCTATCTTGTCTCTGAGAGTATTTTGACGGATACACCTACGCTTTTTATTAAAGTTTCCCATTGTCGTGTGGATTATGAAAAGAATCTGTAAATTCTTTCTACTGTTCCGAAAAAAAGTTAAACTTGAACGTATGCTCCCTAAGTGAGTAAACTCCACATAGATTTAGCGAATGATTAGCACATGGCGTTTTCTAAGTGGTAGAGCCGTGCTGCGGCTATATTAGTAGTATAGTTGTAGCAAAAATGGGTCGGCTCGACCGGGGAAGGACCACGCACTCACAGAATACCAGCATAAAATAGCAGCTCAACACTGATGTGTTTCGTATGGTGAGTGTAGAGAACCGGAGACCCTTTTAATGGAAGCGAGGCATTACATCTTAGTCCTCACGGGTGACAACGCATCTGCATTTTAAATTCGCAAACGAGGATAGATGTAGATGTCAATGGGCCACAGCAACCACTTACCATCCGGTGGACTGTGTGCTCGTTTGTCACCCTATGCTATAAAAAAACATAATATTCATTCATTTGATAACGTCAAATTTTAAAATAGTGTTGTCATCTATAGCGTAAAATGCACCCCCTAGTTTTTAGGGGAAAAAACCACTAAAACACGAATGTTGCATTCGCGTTTTAGTGTTTTTTTTCATGTTATTTAATAATAAGCTTAATTGAAATACAACATGGAATATACCAACTATGCTTAGCGAACAAAAATTTAAGATGATCGTTCTAGCATACATCTAAAATATTACTTTAAGTCAATAACTGTCTAAACGTTGGTAATGTTTTTATTTTGTGTAAACATTTATCAATGTTAGAAGGAGATAAAATACAAAACTCGGTGCTTCTCTTTCTAAAAAAAATGAGGAACGGTTACAATGTTCCCAGCGCTCACTCTATATTATATTAGAACCTCCTTGGTAGTTCCAGTTTCCAGTATATATTACTATACTCTTTAATCTATGGTACGCCGTACGCTGAGCGCAAGCAAGGCTCAGAAGGGCTAGAACCCAGAGCCGTAAAGCGAGTTTAAAATTAATAATGAGTGCAAGAGTACCAAGTACCTGTGAAATTTAGGATTCAACAGCATCAAGGTGGAATTATGATTTTGTCAATCTTCGTGTTGGGCTTGTAAAAATAAAGCAAGAAAAAATATCGCTGTTTCTTTTCTTCATGTTGTTTTAGATTGCCACTTTAAAAATTAGATACACAAATTGTAATAAATTTGATATATTGGCACCCACACAGTTTGGCTTCAGACAAGGAAGATCGACAGAAGATGCAATTCTTGAATTAAGCACATTTGTAATAGAACAACTCGACCACAGTAAAAATGTTTGTTAGTTTTCCTTGATCTGAAGAAAGCATTCGATACCATCTCTGTCCCTATGCTTGTGCACAAGCTTGAATAAGTTGGAATAAGAGGGACCCCGCTTGCTATTTTCGAAAGCTACCTGTCAGAGAGAAAACAAAAGGTAAAGCTTCCTGGGTTCACTAGTGGGGATGCGGGAGTATCATCATATGGCGTACCACAGGGTAGCGTTCTGGGGCCAACCTTACTTTTAATTTATATCAACGACCTGTGCAGTATGACCATACCAAATGCTAAAGTCCTGTCGTACGCCGGTGACACGACTGTGGTTTTTGCTGATGAATCTTGGGAGGTTGTCAGGACTAGGGCTGAAAGTGGTCTAGCTAGAGTCGCTCTGTGGTTGCAACAAAATCTTCTCACTCTAAATACAGCTAAAACAAATTTTATTTGCTTTAGCATTACTAACAACTCGCAACCACAGACTGACTTTTGCCTTAAAATTCATGCATGTAATGAGGATGCTAAAAACAAAGCTTGTGACTGCCCATCAATTGAATAAGTCTCTTACACTAAATATCTCCGCGTCATTGTAGATCAGAGGCTATCGTGGTACCCACACCTGGAGCATGTCATCAGTAGGACTCGAAAATTGATTTGGATATTCAAAACCCTAAGACACGTAATACCAGATAATACTAAACAGTCGGACTCTCCCAGATATCTTCTAAACCAAATATACATATCGCTTGCACAATTTATCATAACTTATTGCATTCCGGTGTGGGGTGGAGCTACAAAGACCCAATTTCTTAACTTGGAAAGAGCTCAGCGAATCCTTCTTAAGGTCATGTATTTTAAAAAAACGACGTTTTTCCACTGAAAAACTGTATCAAATAAGTGGTCTACTCTCAGTTAGACAATTATACGTTACTATGAAAACGCTCAAAGCACACAAATCCGTGCCCTTTGACCCATGCATTTTGAAAAAGCGGCGAAAAGATGTTGTGGCTGTATCTTCAAAACCGTGTTTGCTAGTGGGCAATTTAGCTCCCGTTCTACATTCCTATATAATTTAATAAATAGAGAATTAAACATATACGACAAAACGTACAAGGAGTGTAAAAACCTTATACTAAAATGGGTGCAGTCGAAAACATATGACGAAACTGAAATTCTAATGGAACGCATTTCATAATTCACTGTTCTTTACGATATATAACATAATAATACTTTCTCTACACACACACACATTCACACGCACGTGCACACACATACATACACACACACACTCACACAAACAAAAACACACACACACACACTCACACACACACACACACACTTGCATACATGCACACATATACTTTTGTACTTTATGTAATTTTTGGTTATAAAAATAGAATAAATTACTTTTTGTTATGTTTGGTTTGTTAAAATAGAGTATTTACTCTATTTTAACAAACCAATTTGTTTGTCATTTTTGGTTTTTAGAATTAAAATGTATGTTTAGATAAGGAAGAGCGGGGTTTCCAAACACAAGCATTACTTGCTTAAATGGAGACCCCAATCAACTATCTAATTAATTTAAGTTTTGTGAAGAACATTGAGTTATATGTACTACGTACTAGAGAAGCCATTCCAAACAAAAATTGTTTCCTACTCATGTCTTCGCGCATGCGCGGGAGTAGTAGTCGCGCATGCGCGAAGACTTTAGTTTGATATAAAATAAGATATTAATATAAAATAAATATAAGAATTTAATATAAAATATCTTAATTTCATCTAAACAAACATATTATATTGCTAAATAAAATGTAATAATAATTATTTTATGGAATTCACAAATCTTCAATTTAGGCAATATTTAGTTTGTACGGATTGCAGTACAGTCCAGTTGAACGTAGTCAATGTTCGGAATGGCTTCTCTAGTACGTAGTAAATATAACTCAATGGTGAAGAAAAATAAATTATTTTATTTTATTTATTTATTTAAATTTATATTATATCGGAATAAACTAAAAATGTTAATTCTGTGTTAAGCTTTTTTTGGTTTGCTTTTTAAGTATAATTACATACATAATACTCTGAGATTTGCACAATTAATTTACCTATTAATTCATTTAAATGAAATTATTTAATATTAGCGGAATTCTATCAAAAGAAGCCATGAATTAATAGGAAAAGAAAAAAAAATGATATTTGTTTGTCAACGTTTCATATTGAAGATATTTTCTGAAATTTATTAAAATTTAGTTCATGGGTTTAGTTTTTAATATTTATTATTGATTTTTGCTTAAATTCAGTTATTATAGACTTCATTTTCGTATGTAGGTGAATACACAGTCATAATATCGTCGTTAATATACAGTAAAGATTTCTTGTGAGATGTTAACTCTGTATAAGATATTGAATATAAATGAATTCATTATTTCAAAGTTTTATGCACGATTTGTGATCATCATCGAAAGTAAGTTAAGTGTTGTGCAAATAAAAAGCATTAGAAAAACTTATGACAATATTGTGGTAAGTCTATAAACATTTTGAATTTATTGGCCGTTATTTGTATGGATTATTACGATATTGACTCGAATTGTATCTGTTTCAGATCACGTATTTGGGCTAAGTTAAGTTTTCATCATTAGAATTTTGCTGATTAAAATTTAAGTTAATGTTCTGTGAAGAATAACTCTGACAATAACGTGTGTTATAACAAGCGTGGAAATATTATGTTCAAAAGCAATAAAAAACATCAATAATAATGTATACTTTATAAAACAATCTGTCTACCAGAAAATAAAATTACTTACCTATACTTATTTATAGTTTTAATTTATTCCACATACTAATCTAAAGTATATTCGAGTAATTTTGGTGCAACCACTCAAATACGTGTATATGGGAATTTACCCCATAGGTTTGTGAGGCTTGTGCCAAAGTTACTCGAATATGCCTTAAATAAAAAGTTTAAAGTGACAGAATACAAAGGTTTGAAATTCCCGCTACAAAAGTTTTATATGGGTGTCCATCGTAGCGCTTTTAGTGTACACTCATAAACACGTGTTTCCGTTTTTTAGTATGAAGTTGGAGTTCTTCTCTTGGTAGAGAGTAGTTGTGTTCTGTGAACAGCATTCTGTTAGAATTTACAAGTTAGTCTGTGTTCAACAGTTCAAAAAGTCAAAAATAGTTAGTTTCCTTTAGATTCAGAATCAGATTTATTATTTTCACAACTTGGTCCAAAAAGGGGAAATGTATTTTTTGACTGAGTTCTAGAAAATTGTGTGGATTGTGTTTTTTTATCATAGTTTACAGGTTATTTGCAATTTTAAGCGATGGAGATTATGGAATCTATGCCGGTAGCATTTAAAGAAATTGCACCCAACCACAATATTCCCGAAAAATGGAAGGAAATTATGTTAAATACAGGTTTGTTCCCCTTTAACAGGTTCAATAAGAATTAGCAGATTCCTTTGTAAATATTTAAATATTATATTTGTTTGTTTACTTGCAGGTGGTACTCACAGTACTTTACAGGACATAAAGTTACCGCAGAAAGCTGGTGGTTATTGGTATAAAGATTCGAAAAAAGCAAATACAAGAAATCGTTTTATATATTGGTAAATGAATGAAGAATCTTATTAGTTTTATAAATTTTTCTTGTTTTCTTTATAAATTAAATTTATTTATAGGCAAACAACTTCAGATGCCATAGAATTATCAGAGGCTTCTTTAGATGTCAATCTTTCGGCTTCAAATTTACGATGTAAAGTAGCACCTGGAACACCACCCTTAAACAGCTTAACATTTTATGAAAGATTAACTACACAAGAAGTTGTTATTTTGGCTGCTACCGTGTCATCTGTACATAGACTTATATTCCCACATCCAGAATCCTTAGACAGAAAGGTTTGTCACATATGAATTTTTTAGTTTTAATTAGTTACAAACTGCCCAACATGCATTAGAATTAGTCTCCGACAGAAACAGGGGTACAACTTTCCATTGATGTCCGTCGAGTTGGAGGTTGATATTTTTTTACAGAAAGTTTACATTATTATAAGTGCTTATAATAATGTAAAACGCGCAACGCACGCAAAGTTTCAACATGCGGAAACATACTTTTTGAGAAAAAAATTATTGAAAATCAATTATTTTTGCAATATTTACGCCAATCCTCATTGACGTCCGTCAAGTTGAGGGTTGATATTTTTTTTACAGAAAGGTTACATTATTATAAGCACACACGCAAAGTTTCAACATTTGGAGACATGTACTTTTTGAGAAAAAGAAAATATTGAAAATCAACTAGTTTTGCAATACCGTAAAACTAACACTATTTTATATTGTCATTGTCAGTAGGGATGTCGATTCTTATCGAAAAAGATCGATTTTATAAATCGATTCGATTCGTTCACTAAAAAAACGATTTCTAAAATTATGATATTTTTTCATGTTTGCATTTATAATGTAAATATAAATCCATTTTATGAGAAAAAAAAAATCCCCTTCACCAGAAAAAAATAGGGGTGACTGATTAAGAGGGATTTCTATATCTATTTTGAGACTGCTATGTCTCCGGCGCTGCGGGAAGAGCAGCCTCTAAGCCTTTGCGTAACAAATCGTAGGCATCGGACGAGCCAGAGCGGCTGAGCGACCAACAAGCCGAAGCTGTGGAGGCTGCTCCCCCTATGCGCCTCCGGCTCTATAAAAATACTTCAGGGGTAGGACAGACTCGTACCAGGTGGAGTCGAGGTCAATCAATTAGGTTCTTTGACATAAGTTGAACCTATTTTATTTGTTATCTGCCCTAATAAGTACTGTTAAAATAAAACAAATTTCAATAAGAGATCATTTATTATGGTATCTTTCTTGTTTTTCATGAAATGGATTTATATTTACATTATAATTGATCGTATCGATACTTCAGCTTACGATTCAAATCGATTTAAAAATCGATCTTTTTCGGAAAGAATTGACATCCCTACTGACGATGACGATGACAATACAAAATAGCGTTAGTTTTACTGTAGGAATTGACATAAATATTGCAAAAATAATTGATTTTCAATAATTTTTTTCTCAAAAAGTACGCGTTTCCGCATGTTGAAACTATGCGTGTGTGCTTATAATAATGTAACCTTTCTGTAATAAAAATATCAACCCCCAACTCGACGGACGTCAATGGCAAGCTAAGCCGAAACAGGATTTTTAACCGAAAACGAACCTTCGGTCTGGGTGTCAGTTTCGGACGAAACGGAAACTTATTTAGACATGTTAATTATTTTTTATTGTATACTGAAATCTGTTATATTTTTATACATATACAGATAGGTAATGCATGTTAATGAAAAACAGTAATTGTAATAGTCATGTAGCAATATATTTATTTATTTTAAAGTATAAATCAACAATTTAACATAAAAATACTTTTCTAAGTCAATTTTGAAAAAAAATCAACACTTACACCCATAAAAAGTTACTTGCTAATTCAGAATATATTTTATTGTGTTCACAATATTGTTAATATTATTCAATGAGAGCATTAACTTAATATATCAGCTACACACACACACACACACACACGCACGCACGCACGCACGCACGCACGCACACACGCACGCACGCGCGCACGCACGCGCACACACACACACACACACACACACACACACACACACACACACACAATATCGACACAACTTAACAAAATCCCAGAAAATATACAAAATCTGATCAAAGTTCAAAATTTTTAATAAACTAAGTTTGTATAAAAATGGTTATGTATTATAAGACTATAACAAAAAAATAAACACACATCACTGAACACATGAAGATATCACAATAATTTTTTTTAAATAAGCAAGTGTATAAGAAATGAAAATCTAATTGACAACTATCCAATAGTTTATCCGTGATGTGTGCACAACTGCAAACCTCTATCATTTTATTTATAAATTAAAGATTTTTTGCTTTCATTATATAAATTTTTTTTCAGTCTACATTTGGATCAGTGAATGGTACTTCTACTTCCATATTTCATGACACCAGTGCAGTGAATAATCATAATAACTATTCCATTTTAAATCAGTATTCAAATACAAGTAAGTAATTCTTTAAATAACATTATTCATACTGCATTACTATTTACCATTTATATGTATATATATAATAAAAAAATTGAGGGTCACTTATCGGGATAAAAACTATAGGAGATCATCGCGGACAAACAATTTCACATGTAATTTTTATATATAAAGGTATATAGCGTGAAGGAGGAAAGTATTATTTTGTTACCCTTTCTATTTATTTTCTTTGCTATGACTGATATTATGTTAGTACAATTCCTGGCTATCCTGCACCCTGAAGATCCTGGATACCAATACCAGCTGGTATCAAAATTTGTTCAAAAACACATTGCTTCCAAGGAATATGCAATTTTTTACCTATTTTGGTATGTTCGGCGGTATGTTTGGTACGTAGAATACATGCCTAATGGCATAAAACCAAAAAAAAAAGTATTGATGGGTGAGTTTTGAAATTATGGATTCTTATGAATGGATTACACAATCATGTTAATAATATTTTTGTGTTTATGCCATCTAGAGTCTTTTCTATGTACCACCTTGAAAGTCAATCAATTTTTGTTCAATAAAATGACTTTAACTATAGAATGTTACTACATTCTATTGATGAGGAGCTATTACTCAAATAGGATCACTATCTCAAAATTAATTATAAATTAACTAATAGCAATAGACAGAAAAATTACGGATTCTACAGGAGCATTTAAGGACCAATTAATTGGCACACAGTTTAATTTTAAAAAGTAGATATTTTATGTTTTATAGCAAAATTAAATTTTCGATACTTAAATTTAAAAAAAAATAATTATAAATTAACTAATAATAATAGAGGTGGAGCAATTTCGGATTCTGCTGGAGCATTTAAGGAGCAAATAATTGACATACAGTTTAATTTTAAAAAGTAGATAGTTTACATTTTATAGCAAAATTAAATTTTGGATACTTAAATTTTTTTTAAATTAATTATAAATTAACTAATAACGATAGAGGTGGAGCAATTTCGGATTTTGCTGGAGCATTTATGGAGCAATTAATTGGCATACAGTTTAGTTAAAAAAAAGAATGTTCTATGCTAACTTCCATCTGGTATTATGCATGTCTTTTTTTTAGAATTAGGGTTACAAATGAGCACACAGCTGATGGTAAGTGGATGTTGTGGCCTATAGACATTTACATTTATCGTTGATTAAGAATCAGAACGCTGATGCATTGTCACCCTTGAGAACTAAGATGGAATGCCTCATTTCCAGTAAAAAGTACACTCATTATATGAAACACAGCATCATTAAGCTGCTATTTTACACTGGTATTCTCTGAGAGTGTGGTCCTACCCTGACCGAGCCGACCCATGTTTGCTTCAACCATAACATATCTGTAGCGCGGCTCTTCCATGTAAATGTTTGTGTATCACTTTTTTAAATCAACACTTTGTTTTTGTGCAAATGTGAAATCTCACTGGAATTTTGATTCAAAATCAGCGTCAAAATTGTCAGATGTTAGATGGTTGTCCAAGAATACTTAGGCCGCATTACCACCTGCAAGAAGTGTCCGACAGTCTGTCAGACAGTAGCTTGCAGATGTAAACTACGTAGCAAACGCACTCGCGACAGTTTGTCAAATGTTTCCTGCAAGTAGTACATGTTCACATCGACTCACAACAGATCTTGCTGCTTATCGGTTTCATCATTATCATCATCATTACAGCCCTTCACAAGTCCACTGATGAACATAGGCCTCCCCCAAAGAATGCCACAAAGCACGGTCCTGAGCCACCTGCATCCATCGACTTCCTGCATATCTTACCAGGTCGTCACTCCATCTAGTGGGGGGACGCCCTACACTTCGCCTGCCGGTACGAGGCTGCCACTCGAGAACCTTTCTTCCCCATCGGTTGTCGGTTCTTCGAGCTATATGGCCGGCCCATTGCCACTTCAGCTTACTAATCCGTTGGGCTATGTCGGTCACTCTAGTTCTACTGCGGATATCCTCATTTCTGAGTTTATCACGCAGAGAAACTCCGAGCATAGCCCTCTCCATAGCTCGCTGAGCGACCTTGAGCTTCCTCATCCGGCCAGCAGTGAAGGACCACGTCTCAGTTCCGTATGTCATCACTGGCATCACGCACTGGGTGTACAGTCTCGTTTTCAAGTTTTGAGGTATACCTGACGAGAAGATGTGCCGTAATTTCCCGAACGCTGCCCAACCGAGTTGAATCCGTCGATTGACCTCTCGGTCGAAGTTGGACTTACCTAGTCGGACTATTTGTCCCAGGTAAACATACTCGTCAACAACTTCGAGCTTAGTGTTCCCAACAACTACCGGCATAGGTGTGACATGGACATTAAACATGATCTTTGTTTTGTCCATGTTCATCTTAAGACCTATCCGTTGGGAAACACTATTGAGGTCATTGAGCATAGTGCTTAGGTCCTCCAGCGATTCTGCCATAAGGACTATATCGTCGGCAAATCGAAGGTGAGTGATGTACTCTTATCGGTTTAGCTTCGTATATCTCGTACAAGCGGCTTTGTCCATGTTCATCTTAAGACCTATCCGTTGGGAAACACTATTGAGGTCATTGAGCATAGTGCTTAGGTCCTCCAGCGATTCTGCCATAAGGACTATATCGTCGGCAAATCGAAGGTGAGTGATGTACTCTTATCGGTTTAGCTTCGCATATCTCGTACAAGCGGCTGTTTGGTTTTTTGTTACATAAAAATGAGTCAATGACAAACACTTGAATGGTCTCAGGAAGATACTATTAATTTAATAGGGTTTTATGAGTGCAACCCTTGTTTATGGGATTACTCGCATGTTGATTATAAAAATAGAATTAAAAAAACTCTATATTTAACTTACTATAACATTGCTCAAGAGTTTTCTACAACTGAGAATGAAGTGTCCCATAATTAAAGAAGTCAATGGCAGAATGAATTCAAAAAATTAAAGATCAAGAAGAGTGGACGAGGCCAAGATCATCTGTACAAATATAAATTCTCTATATAAATTCGCGACATCTACAGCTCTCGTGTGTAAATACCTCTGCGATAAGTTGCGATAGTATGATCGCGAACTTCTCGCGAAATATTTATTGCAGAAAAAAAGCAAGAAACTTGTGCAAGATTTCCGCGAGTGTTCTTGCAGGTGGAAAACGTGGCCTTATATCTTACTGTAAAAATGAGTAATTTTTTATTTTTTATTTTAGCTACAGGTGTTGCACATACATGCGATAGTATGATCGCGAACTTCTCGCGAAATATTTATTGCAGAATAAAAGCAAGAAACTTGTGCAAGATTTCCGCGAGTTTTCTTGCAGGTGGAAAACGTGGCCTTATATCTTATTGTAAAAATGAGTAATTTTTTATTTTTTATTTTAGCTACAGGTGTTGCACATACATGTGCTTCATTGCTCCGTGACAGTGGAGAAGCTGTTTTTGCTCTTGCATTTGGCCATGGTGTTGATGGAGGCTTGTTGCTTGTTAAATTACCTGTGACAGGTTCTGCTGTCACTACAATTTTAAAAAGAGAATCAACAGTTCCAAGATTTTTGTCTGGCATTACGGGGGCACTGAGGTAAAGTACATTGTACATAATATATAAATTTTTTTTTACATTTCTATTTGTTAACTAACTATCTGCTCTAGCTTCGCATGGATGATTTCTAGATCTCGATAACAGAGCCACCTACTGGGTCAAATTGTAAATCTAAACCATCCAGGGCTCCACTCAAACACGCAATTTTTTTTAATTAAAATCAGTGAAGCAATTTTAGAGTTTTAGTGAGACTAACGGACAACAATTGAGTTTTTATGAATATGGATATTTTTAAATAATGGTAAATTTACTAACCATAACCTTTTCAAAAATTAGGGAAAGCTTGTAAATAAAAAATCTTGTCTCACAATTCTACTGGTGGTACTACTGCTATTTATTGATCCACCACAAGATCTTTTTGGGGTTACACTAAGTCACCTTTTACATCATCCACAGGATGACATAGGGTAATGGTAATGTTTTTGTGGAGAATGTTTAGTGTGGTTTTGTTTAGATGGTTTGTTTGGCTTGCATGATAAACACACTATTCATTTCATTGTCCTACGTAGCAATTGCTCAAAATATTTTAATTACAAATTTTGTACAATGGACTTCAATATAAATAGAAAGAGAACAAAGAAGAAGTCAATAAAATTTGCATTATTAAGGATAACTCAAAAGCTACTGGTCAGATCTTGATCAAATTTCTATGAGACCACATGAGAAGCACCAACTTTCAAATAAAAAAGAATCACCAAAATCACAACATAAAAAGTACACACATTAAAAAAAAGTACAGATGAATTCAGAACCTCCAATTTTTTAAGTCTGTTGAAAAGCTTTGCTACGCCTCACACTCCGTCGCACGCTCACCATTGAAGCTTTAGGATGATGGTTGCTTTTATACTGCCTGTCTACTCACCAATTTATGTACTACATAAATAAATAAAGAGATTAATATAAATTATTATTATTGTTGTGAAAATTATTCTAAATGACTGCTTATGTTTCTATTGCATTTTAGTTGAATTATTGTGCATGTATATGTAGTGTTTAGAATGTTATTATGTCAATAAATTACACAGGACATAAATAAAACAGTTAAATTGAATTTTAATCATGAATAAAAAAATCATTCCATGTATTTAATGAGACAACTCATAGTATAATTATTTCATTAGAACCACAATATTATGTAAAGCAGCAACAAGTGACATACTTTTCAACCCAAAACATTAAATAATGCATTAGGGTAGATTTAACATTAAAAGTTGGGTTTTTATCTACCAACTTTGGTTTAACTAAGTTTACTTGGCTAAACACATATCCAGTATTAGCATTTTGATTATGATAGTCTTATGGATTCATTAATTTTGTCTTGAAAAAAATCAATAAAAATCTAATGGCCCATTAAGCTAAAATGGCAATATAGCTTGTAGAAATACTCACCAGGATATATGTATGTATGTTCCTGTATGTTTTTACTATATGTACTGCACTATTGATGTCACGGATGTTAAAGGACTTTTATGTAATATATGGTCCTCAGACCCTGTATTATTGAAAATAATTAGTACGTACGCCCGGCGTAGTCTAGCACCAAAACTAAATTATGACGATTGGCCAACCTATCTTAAAGGGAACTGATAGCAATGATGATGATGATGATGACGATGATACTGATGATGGTGGTGATTATATCATGTCTTCAGTATGGTGTTCATACATACGAATAAGTGTGGGCGATGAAAATCACCCATTCTCGCGGATGTATGGTGTGTACGTCGTGCCTGTCTGCGAGTGCGGCGCGTCCCATCCGTCTATTTGTGCTTGTAATACTAGGCGTGTTACATGTATGTGGTGGGAGTGTGACATTCGGGTCGTTGGAGTTGACTGAAACCGGAGGCTTTATATTGCTTGATATGATTTGCTCCTAGCCACTAGACGTCGGTATTAATTAATAACATATTAACTTCTACATTAGTTAAATTAAAAATATTTTTATTATTTCAGGGGGAAAAGTAATATAGATGGTGTAGAAACTTATGGCGTCGTGCTTACGAGTGGATTGGTGGTAGCAATATGTGGTGACACATGTCTTAGAGCTTGGACATTAGATGAAGGTGGATCCCCAGTTGCAGTGTCATCACCCCTGTCACAAACTTTGGTGAGACCGAAGCCACCACGTAAGTATTTATGGTATATGTTTTACTTATTATTAATTAACCCGTAAATCCACTACTGATATTTTTAACTTATATTGAAATGCCCTGCAGAAAATCATAAATTAATAAGGTATGACAGGATGAGAACAATTTTGGAAACACCTTTTATATCTTAATGTTGATACTATCATAATCTTCAGAATTTGTATTCGTTTGTCATTGGTCTAAGGAATATAGAATTTGTAGTCATCATTATTTTAAAGTCATATTTAGATGAATTGATTGTATTGAATCATAGATCAGCACGGGCCACCGGCGGACTGGATGGTAGTAGCTATGGTGTTTTCCCCCCCACACAGAACTGTCTGTCATTTATTGTGGGGGGGTTAAATCTGCGCATCCAAAAACCAATAGTCTGTCACTACGAAACTCTCAGAACAATTAAAACTATAAAGTAAACAATTTCACACACACATAGATACATTATAACAGTATCTCTTGGTGACAGCAACAACTCAGATACGGATTCAGCGCCCAATCTGCATCTTGTGTGAGGGCGAGCGGCGTGTGTTGTTAAACAACTCCGAAACAAGACCGTTATTATATAGCGTTATATTATACCAAGACCGTGATATTATATTTGAGATATTTATACTAAACTAAATTTATCGAATTATGGCAATTAATGGAATAGTTACTTTCATGAAATGACGACAGATTCACAACCTTAACCAGATTTTCGTAAGACCGAATTTCGGTCACGGCGACCAGGATCAAAGCCATCGGAGCAGGACAGGATTATAGTGCCCAAGTGTATGCGCAAGCACAGGTGCACTCTCTATCCCCTTATTCTCATAGCTCGATCCGACGGCAATCCGATACGACCGGAGAGTGTAGTAGTTATTTTTATCTTATTATGGTTTTTTTTTAATAAAAAAAGTTACCTCTACATACTTGTTCCGTGCGGGATTGGAACCCGCGGCTCTTAGCGCTGCCACTCATTGCTAAGCTAAGGCACTGTGCCACGGGGCCGTCTATTATTTAGACTTTAGTTGATACTATTGAGGTGTAAGTGATTTAAGCATATGTTTAATGAATAATCAGTGATTTGTATTTTTTTTATTTTTCAGCTCAAGGCCATATGTTAAAAAGCATTGATAATGCTGATAGAAGTGTAACACTAGTAGCCTATCTTTCATTTCCTAACGATTGTGAATTTGTGGTCATGCGAATTCATGATGGAGGCGGCGGTGCTATTAAGTTTTCTCACGTGTGTCAAATTTTTGGTCCTCAGGTAAAAGTATTTTTTGTGGAAAAGACTCTTATGTAGATAAGTGGTAAAATTAAAAATTTTGTATAACCGACTTCAATATAAATTATTAAGTATAACTCAAAAACTACTGGTCAGACCTTGTTCTTGTTGTTTTTGAAAGCTGGTGCTTCACATGAGACCACATGAGAAGCATTGACTTAAAACTAAAAAAAATACATCGTCAAAATCGGTTCACCTAGAAAGAAGCTATGAGGTAATACACATAAAAGAATAAAAAAATACAGTTGAATGGAATACCTCCTCCTTTTTGAAGTCGGTTAAAAATGTATAGAATCTGGTGTAACTTTTAGTACAATTCATTTATGTTAAAATTTAGAAGTTAAGATCTGTGTGGAAAAAAAATTGTGTCTTTCTCATTGTCACCATCACTACTAATGCCAACACCACAACACTGGGAAAGATATCACCTTCGATAATGTTTCGCCGCTACTCAAGGTATCATTGAGAGAAATAGACTTTGCAATGACTAACTGCTAAAGGTCGCCCGCTGCCCATTAGTACTACTCTATGATGCAACTTCTCCTCACTTAAGTAACAAATGACTATGTTATGTTACGACTCACCTGACATATGCAGTTGTTTTCTGTAAAATTTTTAACAAACTGCTGCGAAATGCAAACCAACCCTCCAACTGCGCAATCGATCGCACACTGGATTAGTGGTGACTGTGATAGTGCACGTAACAAAAAGAGGTGTTCTTCAAAATAGGTAATACACGTCATTTTTATTTTTTCTACGCGCATCTTAGATTATTAATTTTAATATCTTAAATTTTGTGTAGAAATTGTATCCTTTCAGGTTTAGGTTTAAAGACGTTTATTCTCATAAAGACATTATATACGCCACTTACATGAGAACATTTTTTTTGCCCTAAAGTTAAATGAAAAAATGAAAAATGAAGAATAGAAATTGTGTTTATTAGGACTAGCGATAAAAAACAATTTCTAAAACTGTAAAGAGAACTGATAAATGGAAGGATGTTTATCAATAATAAAAAAAGAAAAATGATGATAAATAATAACTACATACATATTCTTAAATGAAATGAAATTTTGTTATTTAGATTTACTTTTATTTATCTTAACAGTGGTAGAGCCACGCGGCAGCTTTTGCTGTCGCACGGATGGGCCGGCTCGAACCGGGGTAGTACCACGACCTCACAGAAAACCAGCGTGAAGTAGAGGTTTACCTCTGCGTTTCGCTTGGTGAGTGCAGGTGGCCGGAGGCCTTTTTTACTGGAAATGAGGCATTCCAGTCCTCACGGGTGACAACGCATCTACATTTTGATTTGTAACAGAGGATAGATGTAGATGTCTATGGGCCGCAGCAAACACTTACCATCAGGTGGACTGTGTGCTCGTTTATCACCCTTATCCTATAAAAAAAAAATGTTCTCATGTAAGTGGCGTATATAATGTCTTTATGAGAATAAACGTCTTAATATAAAGTACGAGTAGTGTATTTATTAAGTTATAATTTTTATGAGTGTGTTTATGAGCATGTTCAAATATATAAAACATTTCAGCTGGATCTACTAGATTACACTATCGGTTATGGAGATGGTAATCATGTTATTTGGGCATTATGGAATCAGCCTGATGGTGAAGCTGTCATAACAAGTAAGGACTAAAATAAAAAGCATTTATTTTGAATATTATTTTTCGTAACTTTAATGTGCCTATTTGATTTGTTAATTTGATGTATTAGACTTCCTGTATTATCAGAATGGTGTATCATTAACATGTCCTTTTAGCAAGCTTTTATAAACTTACACAAACATTTTTAGTAATAATAATTAGAAAAAGAAAAGGATGACGCACTAGCAGTGTGTATATTTACATGAACCAATTCGATCTTCTTACAAACCTTTCTCCCTGTAACTCTAAAGCTATTTCATCTACGCATTTGCAGCTAGTGGGCCAGGTTATATACCAGCCATAGTTCTACAGGCTTGTGCTTCTGAGTTGTATCCTGTTTGTTTCTCCTTATATATTTAGGACTGGAATAGTGTTCGAATCCTGGAAGCTTACCAATGTGCAGCCTAAGCCCAAATGCAGCCAATTATTGGTCAATCTCAATTATCTCCATAATAATAATGTTAACAGTTATTAACATAAATAACGGTGGTAGAGCCATGCAACAGCTTTTGCTGTTGCACGTATGGGCCGGCTCAAGCCGGGTTAGTACCACGACCTCACAGAATACCGGCGTGAAGTGGAAGCTCTGCTTCCGCGTTTCGTCTGGTGAGTGCAGGTGACCGGAGGCCCAATTTCCCCCTCCCCCCCCATCAACATGGTAGCGGAATTACATCATAAACTACCCCAGGAGGGTACCAGTAACCCTGGAGAATCCCTCGCTGAGCATCCACGACTATGCGATACCACTCCTGAGCGTGGGTGCTCAGGCTGCCCCGCGTATGCGGAGGGGGGGGGGGGGGCAAAATTCCGCTCAACACAATAACTGCTCGGGGCAAACTGAGCAACAAGACCAAGGCGACCCCTGCCACGCTATCCGTGAATTTCTGCAACATCAGGGGACTTCACTCGAATCTAAACGCCGTCCACTACCATCTCGAGACGGCGAAGCCGGCCTTACTCTTTCTGACCGAGACGCAGGTGTCCTCTCCGGCTGATACTTCGTATCTCTCCTACCCGGGGTACAAATTGGAGCACTCCTTTGTGTCTCGGCCTGGAGTTGCGTGTATGTCAGAGAGGACATCTGTTCTCGACGCCCCGGCAGTCTTGAAGGTTCGGACCTGTCCATCCTTTGGCTACGCGTAGACAGCGACAACCATCCGCGCGTCTACGTGTGCCTCTATAAGTCCCATAGCGGTAATGCCGAAACAGACCACGTAGGTCAAGGTACAAGGAATCTGTGTCCAAATGGCTACAGATTCCTTGCTACAACAAGTCACATCCGCAAAGATCGTGATCGTTGGCGATTTTAACGCCCACCACGCCGAATGGCTCGGTTCACGTTTAACCGATCATGCGGGGAGATCAGTTATGACTTTGCCTTGGCATATGGTCTGACACAACTGGTTACATCGCCTACGCGGATTCCAGATGTTGAGGATCATACACCTTCCCTGTTGGACCTTCTGCTGACCTCTCATCCGGACGGATATCAGGTTTCCGTCGATGCCCCTCTTGGCTCTTCGGACCATTGTCTGATCCGGAGTGTGGTGCCACTCACGCTCCCCTCGCGGTTGCGTTCTGCAGGTTGCCGCCGTGTTTGGCATTACAGGTCGGCGGATTGGGACGTAATGCGGTCTATCTTTGCTTCCTACCCATAGGGGCGTGTTTGCTTCTCGCCGGATGATCCCAGCGCTGTTGCTGACTCTGTCACTGATGTGGTGCTACAGGGAATGAAACTATTTATTCCATAATCTGTGGTACCCATCGGAGGCAGATCTCAGCCTTGGTTTGGTCGCTCCTGTAAGACTACATTACGCAGTAAGCAGGAGTGTTATCAAGCCTGGGCTGCGGCTTCGGTGACTCGGGATGTAAACACCAGCATACTTAAAAAGAAGTATAACTTCGCCTCCAGGTCCTTCAAAAGAGTTATTGCAAAGGCAAAGTCAGAGCACATAGGCAGAATTGGCGAGAAACTAGTTCGCCTTCCTTCGGGAACCCGTGCATTGTGGTCTCTCGCCAAGGCTGTCCAAGGGAATTTCTGTAAGCCATCACTACCATCTCTGCACAGGGAGGACGACTCACTGGCCCACGACGTAAAAGAGAAAGCCGACCTTTTAGGCTCCCTTTTTGCGTCCAACTCGACTGTTGATGACGGGGGGAACACACCGACGACCATCCCGCGGTATGAGTGCTCCATGCCGGATGTGCGGTTCTCACAGCGCTCGGTTCGCAGAGCAGAGTCCAAGGGGGAGCCATTGGCCGTTAGTTTGGACATTGCGAAGGCCTTCGATCGAGTTTGGCACAAAGCGCTTCTTTCGAAGCTCCCTTCCTATGGGCTTCCCGAGAAATTATGCAATTGGATCACCAGCTTTCTTGCAGATCGGAGCATCAAGGTCGTTGTAGACGGTGCATGCTCCGACTACAAGCCTATTAACCCTGGTGTTCCACAAGGCTGCGTGCTATTACCAACGCTGTTTCTTCTGCATATCAATGATATGTTGCAAGCCGGTAGCATTCATTGCTATGCGGATGACAGCACTGGTGATGCTCTATACACCGGCCGTGCCAATATTTCTCGGGAAAACGTCACCGAGTACCGGAACAAACTTGTGTCTGAAGTCGAGTCTTTGCTGGACAAAGTTTCGGATTGGGGGCGACTAAATTTAGTCCAGTTTAATGCTCCGAAGACACAAGTTTGCGCGTTTACCGCTAAAAAGAACCCCTTTGTCGTATCTCCTCAGTTTCAAAGTACTCTCCTTGTTGCTTCAGCCAGTATCGGTGTTACGGCCTACGGCTGCTCCCTTAAAGGTCAAATCCTCAGGGGCCCATTCAGCTGAGTTTCGACGAGCAGACGTAGGTCGGGCCTCCTCCAGGCCAAAGTGGAAAATGTCTACTTACACTAAACTATATGGGGGAACGTTCTATACTACGGCAATTCGACCGGGAGAATATTAGACGGAGCTTACTTACCTATATCCAAGGCGACTGGTCCCTCCGGAGTCAGGTCCGGAGTAAGGTGATGTGATGTGTATCTGGGTGTGACTGATGGTGATTGACCCGAGTAGACCTTGGCCGTCGGCAGCAGCCCGGGCGTCGACACCGCTCCAAATTAAGGGAACCTTCCGCGGCGTTGTCCACAGTCACTTTCCTCGTTCGTCACGATGACAGTCCATTAACTCTATCGTACGATTAACTAACTTATAGAAGCCACTAACTCTCGTTTGTTATAAGGTTAACGCACAAAACGAACACGGAGTGTCCGGATCAAAGGTCACTACCGTTTCGCGTAGCAACAGTTATTTCTAGAATATCAAAGGCCGCACTAGCTAATATTGCCGAATGCACTTATGCAGATTCTGAGTCAGACACAATGAGTCCCTGGGAAGCTCTCCAGCAAGGAATGCGCGTCACAAATCCTAGACCGTATATTTACTGGCCGCGCCTAATTATTCCGAGTTCCCTAACAAAATTACAGTGTGCTAGCGTTAGCACAGCTGGCAGACGACTGACTTGCACTCGCGCGCGCTCGACACATCCCACCGTCAAACCGGTATGGCACCGAGCTGCGCGCCCCCTAGACGTCGATTCCGACAACAGTGTTTGGCGCGAACAATCGGAATCCTCGGCGTCGACATATCGAGTGACGTGCAGTTTCGTGATCACTTGGAAGAGAAGGCCAAATTGGCCTCTAAAAAGCTCGGCGTAGGACACAGAGACAGTATTTCATGCCAGCTCAACGCCTGCAACTTTACAAGGCGCAGGTTCGGCCTCACATGAAATACTGTTCCCATCTCTGCGCTGGGGCTCCCCAGTGCCAGCTTCTTCCACTTGACCGCATCCAGCGCAGAGCGGCCCGAATCGTCGACGACCGAGTCCTTTCCGATCGGCTCGACTCATTGGCACTGCGAAGAAATGTTGCATCCCTTTGCATTTTCTTTCGCATCTACCATGGGGAGTGCTCTGAGGAATTGTTCGGATTAATCCCAGCCGCCAAATTTCACGAACGCATATCGCGGCAGAACTCCCGATACCATCTGAATGATTGGCTGTCCACCACTGTGCAATTTAGAAGATGTTTTCTTCCTCGCACAACTTCCTTGTGGAATAGTTTACCACCAGCGATTTTTCCGGACCGATACGACTTAGGGACCTTCAAGAAAAGAGCCTACTCCTTTTTAAAAGGCCGGCAACGCATCTGCAATTCCTCTGGTGTTGCGGTTGTTCATGGGCCGCGGTAGTCACTTATCATCAGGTGAGTCGCATGCTCGTTTGCCCCCTCCTATATAAAAAAAATAAAATTTGCAAAGTTTGTGGATTGTATATTATTTTGAGTTGTTATTAGGTAGATGGTTCTGCTCATCTATTTCATTGCCACCTGTCACCTCTTACGACACGCACGGGATGTAATGGGGTAATTAATTACCCTATGTCGCTACTACACGGCGAACGCCGTACTACACAGCGATTACTACTACTTATACATGCTAATTTCTTCTGTTTTACATAGTTTTACTTTTTAAAATATTCAAAAAATATAATTAAAATGCAATTGTGACATCATATTATGTAATATCAAATTAATTTACTACATATGCATAAATAAATGTCAAATTGGAAATTGAATTCGTGTTAACAATACATTCTAAATAAAAAAAATAATAGTAGGTAAAATTATCTGTATGTTCCGTCTACTGTGTGCTGTGCTGAGGTTACTCTATGATGACAAAAATTAACCCCATATGTACGACAAATAGTAGCGCACATTTTTTGTTTAATATGGGGATTCTAATATGTAAATACATTTATTATTGCAATGGTTTAATTGAAGGTAGCAGTTTGGGCGCGGAGGTGTCATGGCGATGCGTGGCAGGGCGGGAGCCTCCGCCGCCGCTGCCGCAGCTGTCCTCTCACCAGCAGTACCGCGACCGACTCCTCGCACCCGGACTTTTCCCGCCGGCGGTTATAAAGAAAGCTCTTGTGGTAAGTGATCTTCAGCTTTATGTGCAGTCAGACTTAAATAACCTTAACTATGCAGTACATAAACTAAATAATAACCTGGAAGCCATAAGAGAATGGTCGTGTAAATATGGCGTTTCAGTTAATCCAGCAAAATGCAAAGTTATAATCTTCGGAAGTTCACAATTATTGGCTAAGATTAATTATGGAAATCTCTCTTATGTAATTTATAATGGAACTCTGATTCCATATTGTTATTCCATAAAAAATCTTGGCTTGTACATGGACATAACAATGACCTGGAAATTGCAGATCTCTGAAGTAAGTTGTAAAGTTGTTGCCACCTTACGTTCATTTTATCGTCTTGAAAATTTCCTACCTTTTAAAACAAAGCTTACGCTTGTGCATTCCCTCATTCTACCTATTATAGATTATGCAGATGTATGTTATCCAGATTTGTCACAAAATCTTCTAAACAAATTAGAGCGCCTTCTTAATAATTCCATAAGGTTTATTTTCAGGTTACGTAAGTATGACCACATATCTTCCTATTGTTCAAAGCTTAAATGGCTACCTACACGTCAAAGGCGATGCTCTAGAATATTACTTGTACTTTATTCAATTTTAAACGATCCAAGGTCACCTTTTTATCTTAAGGATAACTTACATTTTCTTCATTCGATTGACGGTCGAATACCACGACAATCAAACCGTCTGAGGATAAGGTTTCCATAGCATAGGTCTAATTTTTTCAGGTCCTCGTTTACGATACAAGCTAATACATCTTTGGAATGCCCTCCCCGATGATATTAAGAATGCTACAAATAGAAACTCATTTAAATTACTTCTACGACAACATTACCTGAAGGCACTTACTAACTGACATTTTTTTTCTTCAAATATTTATTTATTTATATATTAATACGGATACGGATGTTTATAAAGTTTATAAGCATGTATACACATTACATGTATGTATGTATGTATTATTGTATGTAAATATATGTTATATATATTTAAATATATGTTGTGTGTGTATGTACTATGTATATATTATATTTTAATATAAATATACTTTATTTATGTATTATGTTTCGCACCTGCCTACAATTGTCTTTGGCTTTGGCACCCAGGGTTGACTGGCAGAGAATACCATATGGCAATAAGTCCGCCCTATGTTGTACCCTTTACCTTAAGGTGTTACATTTAAGTTTTTAAATAAATAAATAAAATAATAAATAAGTGGGTAAAACTTTTCTTATATTCATAATTGTTTGAAGTTTGCTTTGGATAAATTTGTTATCAGGTTTTAAAATGTCGATAAGCAAACATAAATGTTATCAAACTTGAAGTTAGTTACAGCCTGTATATGGGACGTATATAGGTGTAACTTTAACTCTAACTTTAAGCGACGTGTCATGTCGTGCGGCTCAGGCGCGTGATATACGCGGGTGAAACTGCAGGGCACAGCTAGTTAGCAATACACACGAATCAGAATCATTTCCATCCATAATCAAATCCAAATTCCCTTCTTCAACAACGATGAAACAGTTCTTCACAAGCAGCCAGAAAGTTTCGACACGATTTTAAGACGATGCAGCGTTACGGAAGTCCATAACGGGCACTTTTGTAACATGATCGGTTGCAGATATACCGGCGCACGTGGTGTGGTGGCGAGGCGGGTGCGGGTGCGGGTGCGGGCGCGGGCGCGGGCGCGGGGGAGGGCGAGCTGGGTGAGGCGGCGGCGGCCGCCGTGCAGGCGCGCCTGCGCACGCTCGCCGCGCGCACCGCCGCCCACGACCACTCGCAGCTCATGCACAAGTTAGTACTACCTCACTACTCACTACCCACCACTCGCTACTCACCTCTCACTACTTACCACTCACTACTCACTACTCACCACTCACTACTCACTACTCACCACTCACTACTACACTCCTATTTATATTCATTCTGCAACCGATGTCGCAATACATTTACCTCTGCAAATGTAAATAATGTTTTATTAATCTTATTTGAAAATTTTCTCTATGAGACAGTAAAAGTCCACCATTAGACATTCTCCTATAGTTAGATTTGCAATGTAGACGAAATGGTTTTCGTAGTTTCAAAAGTCTCCTTTGAAGCTCATCTATATTGCCATTATAATGTAAAAGATATTTAATCATCCATCGGAGACCATAAAAACTGAACCTGATACGAGGGCGGCACTGAAAATTTCGGGAATCAAGGAAGTGACACAACATTACTATTTATAAATGTATTTATTGCTTTTCGAAGTATTCTCCGCGAAATTTGACACATTTTTCCATACGATGGAGCCAATCATTGAAGCAACCATTCCATTCGGAAGTTGGGGTCTCCAAAATGGCCGTTTTGTAGGCGTCCACAGCTTCTACAGGTGATGAAAATCTCTGTCCACGCAATTTATTCTTTATTTTAGGCAAAGTATAGAAATCATTAGGGCTTAGGTCGGGGCTGTACGGCGGATGGTCTAATAATTCTATGTTTTTTTGCTCTAAAAACTCTTTTGTTATGTGTGCGGTGTGAGAACTCGCATTGTCGTGATGAAGGATGATGCGGCGGTTGCAGTTCTCTTTACGGAGTTCAGAAACTACCTGTGGCAAACAAATGATAGCATACTATTCTGCATTAACCGTTCTTTGTCCCTCAAGAGGAATAGTCGTAACATGGCCAGTTTTGGAGACAAACGTGGCCACCATTTTTTTTGCAACACTCCGTGAACGAACAGTTTTTGTTGGCTTTAACTCATTTTCGAACACCCAAACTCGTGACTGGTTTTTTGTTTCGGGTTCGTACGCGTATATCCATGATTCGTCACCTGATACGATGTTGTATACAGCATTTGAGGATCCTGCGTGGAATCTTTCGAGAGTTCTGACGCACCAAGTAACGCGAGCCGCTTTTTGCTCTTCACAGAGCGAATGCGGTATCCATCGGGAAAACAACTTTTTTACACCTAATTGTTCATGCAAGATTATTTGTATTTGACTCATGCCAATGTCTAAAGTTGCCTGAATTTCGCGGTATGTCACATGTCGATCTTCCTCAATCAGCTTACGCACAGCATCAACGATTTCTTGGGTGACTGCAGTTTTTGGACGACCTTGACGGGGATCATCACTGAGCTTGACACGTCCACGTTGAAATTCAGCAAACCAGCGATAAATTGTGGTTTTGGATGGGGCTGCATCACCAAATGCAGAAATTATCCGGTGAACACACTGTTTTTGTGTTAAACCACTTCGAAAGTCATAATAAATCATCGCTCTTGAATTTTCTCGAGTCAATTCCATTTTCTCAACGACTAAACAAGTTAGATAAAACCTTGTGGCAAGACCGAGAATCTTTTCTTAAAGAAATAAATGGTATTCGATTTTTAAAACCAAGGATTTTTCAATTAAAAAGATTTTAATATGACAGGAACAGTGGAAATATTCTATTCCCGATACTTTTAGTGCAGCCCTCGTATAACAGGTTCTCTTACGATCTCATCCTATGGTATTACTTAAAAATATTTTTAAGTAAAAATGTTTTGTAAAACTTTTTTAACTATTACCCTCTAGACCGAATTTCAGTCACGAAGACCAGCTTCAACGGAGACTAGCCAATTGGACTGGATTATAATGCCAAAGTGTAATCGCAAGCACAAGTGCACTCTCTATTCTCTCACTTTCATAGTCCGATGGGATGGTAAACCGACGCGGCCGGAGAGATATTAAGCGCAGGACCAACGGCTTTACGTGTTTTCTGAAGCACGGGAATGAGACACCACCAACTTCCTGACTCCGGGCAGCTACTGAGATTTTCTTGATGGAAAAACTCAATAACTGATATTTTTTGAACCCAACTTGAGTTTCGAACCCGGGACCTCATGATCAGCAGTCGCGTTTACGACCACCAGTCCAAATCTTTACAGCCCTTCACAAGTCCACTGCTGAATAATAATAGGCCTCCCCCAAAGAATGCCACAAAGCACCACCAGTCTAAAGAGGCAGTCTAAATAACTATTACAGTAAATACAACAACAGAAAATCAGATTTATTATATATAATCATAGAACAGCACGGGCCACCGGAGCACCAGAGCGGGGAATAGCCATATCATTTTTTCCCAATACAGCACTGTCTCATTTTATGCGGGGGGAAACTGCGCAGGCAAAAACAATCGTCTGTCAGCGATAGCGACAACTCGGATACATACTTTGATAAGCCGCTCCACGAATCTGCATATCGGGCGAGCGGCCTTAGTTAGTAAACAAATCCGAAACAACACGACCGTTACTATTGTAATATTTAAGTTTAAAAAGAAGTGAAATCAATAGTGTGATTAAAAATTACTTATATATGAAAGGTAACGGTAACGCAATCTTTTTGTAAATTTGATGTGACAGATCTCGTTTTGCAGAAAAAAAAAACTGAACGATTGAGCATTTTTGTAGGATGTCGATTCAGCTGCGCAACTAGTTTATTATTTTACGCATAAGACCGCGTGAACTTGTACTTTGACACAGGAGAGCGCCTGCGTATGGCTACTCTCCTTTGGTCCGGCGATGTGCCCGTATTACTTTATGATTATAATACTATAATTTTAACATTAATTTCATCATTCCAGATGCTGGTCAGACTTGTACAGTTGGTGTTTGCAGTATATGGAGGGACTTCAAAAACCACTTGGACTAATGGTTGCTAATCAAGTAAGTTTTACGTGGAGAAGTGAAGAATTTACTTGGTGGTAAGACTTTTTTCTTGAGATTTCCGGCGTGGTTGAACTGACCCCTATATACACACATCAACAGAATCTAGGGATACCTTAATCTTAAATTATTTACGACTTTATAGTTTACAATCTTTTTTTGTTTCCATAAAAAGTTTATATACAGATTGAAACCTCTTTTATTCTATTTTCAAATTTTTTAAATGTGATTAAAAAAAACAAAAGAAAAAACAAAATACGGCGGCAAAATTGTTAGTAATTCATTACGTCAAGGAAAATTAAAATTGTTCTACTGATATTAATTAATGAAAAGGGATTAGACTGTTTTTCTTTTTTAATTTAACATGCCGTGGATCTTTTTTAAGTCATGTCACATCGTCATTTGCGTCAAGATGAAATGTTACGAGACGCGGTCGACAGCTTTCGTGGGCTCGGGAGCATTTACCATGGAGTAACAAATAATGGTCTTTGGTGATGTTCACCGATGAGTCCCGGCTTGGGTTTCATCCGAATTCACGACGAACACGCGCCAGGGAGAGATAGCCGTCTACGGTACCCTCAGGAGCTCCACTCATACCGATACGGGACAATTATGATTTGGGCAGGAATTCGTCTTGGCGGACGAACCCAGCTCTTTGGATCCAAGGTAGCAAGACTGCACAAAAATACCACGAGGAGATAGTAGAGCCTGTTATTGTCCAACACAGAATCCAAATGGGCCAGGGATTTTTACTCATGCACGATAATGCTCCTTCCCATACGGCGCGGCTGGTGCCGGCCGCTCTCCGAAACCACGATATTCAAGTTTTGGATTGGCGTGCACAGTCGCCCGACTTAAATCCTATCGAGCATGCCTGGGACATGCTACAATGAAAAGCTTTGAGAGATTTCCCGCCAAATTTGACGACGGTACAACAATATTACGAACACTTGCAAAGAACATGGGACCTCATACCGCAGCAAGACATTGACAATTAAACTTTATGTATGAACAGTCGATGTCGATGTGTAATTTATGTAAGAGGTGGCAACACTGACTATTAATAATTAGATTTTATAAGATTTTTTTTTCAATTTTAATTGAAATTAATAGTTTTATAAGAAGAAATGAAATTTTTTTATCATTCTAATTTTCTACGGCAATTAAAAAAAATTACATTTTCGTTTAAAACAAAAATATATTACGAAATGTTTTTTATTTTTTATTAAAGACCTTAAAATAACCTATCATTCTTCCATTTACTTTATCAGAAAATTCTTCATAAATTTTTAGATATTCGATAAAATAAAATATATCCCTAGATTATTTTGATGTGTTTATGTAAACCCCTTCATTGTACATTTCATCAAAATCATTGAAGTAGCTTTGAACACGATTACAAATATATATATACAATATATAACGTAATTAACGCATACCCTCAGACACCCCAATTAGTATATTATGTTATAATCATAATACATACACTGACTTTTTAATTAAACATGTTTATGCATTGATTATTTATTAAATTAGTTATACTAATTCCGGAACAATGTTGTGATGACAGTATAAATCCACGAACGCATGCAGACGCTCACGTAGGTATAGGTTCTTGCTATCCCAGTAGGTGAGGGTCTTGCTATCCCAGTAGGTAGGTATTCGCTCGCGTTCGAGACGAATTAACGCCGCCGCCGCTTGACTCAACTGTAGGTAGGTATTAGTCCCAAAAAAGCCGACAATATACAATTGTTTATGTTAAAAAAATACCTACCCATGAACACTAACTGATGTTCGTACTCTGAGCATCGAGTTGTTTATTAGGTCTAGTAAACATTTGATTCCATTTTTCCATCACACTTTTGGACTGTTGACTCGTGAGTAATTTTGTTTATTGATTTATGATACAATGTTAATAGGCAATATTCGTTACAAAATGTTATGCATTAGCATAACATTTTAATTGTAATTGTAAATAATAACGAACTGCTAATAATAAGAGGCGACCATACTTCCACCATAATTCAAAGACGGCGTGTATAAAATATGTGAATCAAAATATTTACAATAATTTAAAAAAAAAGACCAAATACTTAACTTACTGATAGCTTAAACACTCATGCAACGTTATTATATTTTACAAAATTATTATACATGTGATAATTTTGTAAAATATAATAACATACCATTGCCTTGGTTACAGAAAAAATTTTTTTAGGTATATTGCTTGATCAGAAGCTAACTTTCCAAGAACATGTAAATAATCTGTGTAGAAATGCCTGTAGGGGTCTCAATGTGTTAAATCATTAGCAGGTGTGCATTGGGGAGCTGACCCAAAGTTGTTATCAATGCTTTATAAAAAAAAGTATAGTTCGAAGTCATTTTGATTACAGCACATTAGCATACTTAAATGCAAACAGATTGATTTTAAAGAGATTAGATATAATTCAGAATAAAGCGTTGCGTATAATAACTGGGGCTATGTGCTCTAACACCAATCCATGTAATGGAAGTAGAAAGTTGTATTCCTCCACTTTTACTAAGAAGGCTACAAATTGCTGAACGGTTTTGTGTTAAATTAATCAGTTCAAAAAATGATTTAGTTTTAAAATAAAACTTCCTTATGAAGTTCCTGAGTTAGATGATAGCTCATGCATTGATGTAAATATGCTTTTATCTGGTCGATTACCAGAAATCCTAAGGATTGTTTTATACTTACAGCCCCAAACCAAAAATGTGTATAAAAGTAAACCATGGCTTTTATATAAAATAGAATATGATGCTTTACTGAACATTACTGTTTCTGTATGTCAAGAAAAAGTGAATTCTCAAATGGAAATGTTAAGATATCTAACTGATAATGATTTTTATACAATATATACAGATGGATCAAAATCTGAAGAGTACACAACTTCAGCATTTTATGATTCACAAAAGAAAATATCTAAAACTTTTAAAATTCACAATTTATGCTATATTTTTACAGCTGAATGTTACGCAATCTACTTAACTTTATTGTACATAAAAAAACATTGCGAATTCACAGTTTCTAATTGTAACTGATTCAAAAAGTGTTATAACAGCTATTGAATCTAACAAAATGGATTACAAACAAAATTACATTATATATAATATAAGAAACTTACTAAACAATCTCCGTAAAATAAAGAAGACTGTTACCTTTATGTGGGTCCCTTCACACTCTGGGATAACAGGGAACGAGAAAGCAGACGTTGCTACTAGAGACATATTCTCATCAACATGTTCAGACCACTCGACAATACTGGAAATACCATTTACAGATATATATGCCTTGTTAAGCAAGAACTTGAGATCCTTATGGAAGGCATACTGGGAAGAAATAACCAAGTCCAAAGGAATTTGGTATTATGAAATACAAAAAAGCCCGCCAGCCACTCCTTGGTACAACAAAAAAGGGATTAATAATAGAAAATTCATTACGACTGTAAACCGAATGAGATTTGGACATAGCAGAGTAGTCGCCCACTTGCATCGTTTGGGAATGAAAGAAAATGCAAATTGTGAATATTGTGGAGATACGAAAGGAGACCTAAAACATCTGGTTTTTCAATGCAGTCAATTTGGTTTGAATAGATTACTCCCCATTAATTCCATTCAAGATATTAACAATGATAAAGTTCCTGATACTCTTCAAAGTTTATTAGCTGATGAAAAATTCTTCCGACCATTATATTCCTTTACATCTGGTGTCCAAGATATATAAAAATGAGAACAACGTGATATTAATCAATAGTGCAAACGTAAACAAATTGTGAATCAATGTGAAAGTGAATTTTTGATGAATGTAAGGCTCAGAAGGGCTAGAACCCAGAGCTATAAAACCAGTTTAAAAAAATCATGCAACGTTGTGTTTTTAATATACTTTCAAAATGTCCACCACCTTGTTCAATACATTTTAATGAGCGTTTTCTTAACTGGTATTTTAATTTAGAAAGCACTTCAGTGTAATTTTTCACTATTCCAAAAGCGTTCACTATCCTATTTTTTAGGTCCTCGGCACTTGTTGTCTCACTAAAATAAACTAATGATTTAATACGTCCCCACAAAAAAAAGTCAAGAGGCGTCAAATCAGCTGATCTGGGAGGCCACTGAACTGGGCCGCTGCGACCTTTATAAGACACTCTAAACTCTGTATTTGTAGACTTTAACATACTGGAAATAAAGTTTAATTTTCTTTATTTTGTATTGAATGACGGAATTTGTATTAATACAAATAAAACTGCAAGTTTAAAAGTCTTATTGCCTTGATTTACGGTCCATTTCAGTTTGTTTTGACTGTACAGGTTTAGTGTGACTGTAAACTGTTACGTAGTTTCAATAATTTTTGGGATAAAAAAATTACCTATATTAAAAATGATCAGTCAAAAAAAATCGATTCAGTAAACGATTCTGATCAAACTACTTTCTCAAAGTGCGTGAATTATGTTACGTGTTGTATATATTATATATATATATATATATATATTGCTCGTATAATAAAGCATAGGATATTGTTTACCTTTAGAAAAGCGACGCTCAAAACGGATGGTGGTGTGCTGTGGTACGACGTGCTGGTATATCGTTAGTGCGCGAGCTGGAACCGTTAGAACGTATGATGTTATCTCCTGATGCTTCTTTCTCTGAATCTGGTAAGTGATGTTTTATTAATGTAATTTTTTATTAGAGTATGAAGTTTTAGTTTACTGTGTAAAGCATCACAGCTTCGAAGAATCCATTATTATTAGTATCGGATGGATTCCTTACAATAATTTTCAAATGTGAATATTTAAAAATATAAGTAATAAATATTTTTTCTATAGAATGAGGGTGACAAACAAGCAAACAGTCCACCTGATGGTATATATAATATGTTTCTACGGCAGGCGGAAAAACGTACATTGACCTAAAGTATTATGTTAGCATCGAAACAAAACGACAGGAATTGCTTCTATACATTTCATTATCGATTACGTATCGTTATGTGCTAAACTTGTCTCATGGTACGGGGTAGGGTTAAGGAAGCGGTCATTCAGATATAACAAACCTGTTTCGACACGATTCGCGGTCTCAAGTCGTGCGTATTTGCTAGAGAGGGCGGAGCAGGACTCATCATAGTTTGAGATTTAACATTTTCGATTATAGTTGTTGTTTTCACTTTTATTATGTTTGTTTTGTTTGTTGTATTGTTACGTTTTGTATTAAAGTATTTATTATTGTTTTGTGACGTTTTGTATTTTATCACCGGTATGTAATCGAGTCCATCGACATCAAAATCTTATAAAAATTTTGCGTCACCACGAAAGAAGCGGAAAGTGTCGCATATTTCGAAACCGAAAAAAGAATAATTGTAAACGTCTATAAATATGTAAAAGAAACGTGGTCTAGTGACGTATATACTATATAGTTTTACAATCAATGTGGCGAACTTTTCTACGTCGTTATCATCAGAAAATGATTCTGAAATAGATACAGAAGAATAGTCTGTCAAGTGTCTCTGACAATCTATTATGAGAAGTTTTATGCATGCTTCAAGGTTGACTGCTAAAGAATGCTTAGCATTAAAAGTTCGCCTTTTTACCCGACTGTCAAGAAATGGTTATTTTTTGTACAACTACCTACCTATCTACCTACTTATGAAACTACTTACCTACTATTAACGTAATAATGAAAATTGTAATAGCTCTTAAGATTTATAAATAATAAATTTAAATTAATATTAATTTGGTTTGGTGGTTTGGTCATGTAGAAAGAATGAATGAGGAAAGAGTGACAAAGCAAATTTATGTTGCAGAAGTGAACGGCAGGGTCGGGAAGGGACGCCCTAGACGAAGGTTTATCGACCAAATCGGTGATACATTAAAAATGGGCCAGATTAGGAGTACCCTTAACCGACGAGCGTGTATGCGTAGATATATGGATGTAAAAGAGGCGAGAGAGGTGTGTCAGGATCGCGCCAAATGGAAGTCCGTAGTCTCTGCCTACCCCTCTGGGTGACAGGCGTGAGTGTTTATGTATTATGTATAATTTGCTTTTTAATTCATATAAGCACAGCACAATCTTTTTCCTCCTTAATACAATTATAGACACAGGGCCTGCGAAGATCTTCGTACTTGTCACTCTTATCTTATCTATACAAGAATAAAAAAATAAAACGTAAAAACAAAGTTGGCAACCCGGATGATATTGTCAAAGGTTAATGTACGTTTCCGCCTGCCCTATAAACATAGTATAGTTGCTGTGGTTCATAGACATCTACATCTATTCTCGATTAAGAAACAAAACTTGCTGTCACCCTTGAAGACTAAGATGGAATGTATTTTTTACAGTGTTGGAAGTATAAACTAAACGCAAATATCATAATATATAATTTTTATATAGTCTATGATTTTGCCTATCCATCACTATTTTTTTTTTGTCGACTGCCTCTTGCATTTTTTTATATGCCGTATAATGTTAATAAATACTTTTAGATCCGATTACCGTTTATTTTCTGGAGACTCACAATAAGTAATACAGCAGCATGAAGGTGATATTTGAGGGTGGCATTGTGTGAGATGTGATTGTTTAGGTGGCGACTCGGGGTCGCTGTCGGCGGAGGCGGTGCGCGTGGTGGCGGCGGGCGCGCGGTGGGAGCGCGCGGCGAGCGCGGGCGGCGCGGCCGAGCTGGAGCGCCGCCTGTTCGCGTGCGCCGCGCCGCAGCACCGCCTGCTGCCGCGCCTGCTGCACCTGCTGCTGGCGCCCGCACCCGCGCCCGCGCCCGAACACCACCCGGTCAGTGAGTCATCAGCCTGCGCCACTCCACTGCTGGACCTCGGCGCGCCACTTAACCGGCTCTTCGGCGGCGCATCAACTTTTTACCAGGGACCTTGCACAGATCGTAGTTTCATCTAATCACAGGCCGTTCCACATTACGTTTGCCTATAAGCGGTCTCCACTCCATAACACGTCTAACCGCTGAGTTGCGTGCATTGTGGTCAGTACCAGCCGGCCTACATCTGCCTCAACCGAATTCTGAATCAATCAAATTGTTATTCGAACTCACAATTTCGTACTCCCAAAACGGTAGCCAGCCGTTATAGAGTGGTGGTTCAAATTGGAATCATCAGAACGGAAGTTATCAGCTACTCAAATAATAAAGTATCTAGAAATTGATTTTTAAGTTCTTTAAAATGTATCAATCTATCAAATATAAAATATCTATCAAATATATCAAAATATGCCTAAATTGCGGTGATAACTCTTGATCGTGTGATCGAATTGTGTCGATTCGAAATGGTTTGGGTATAAGTTTTTAAAATTAGGTTCGAATCGACTTTAGTTATAATCAAAAACTAAATCAAATTTGAAATCAGTCTCGGAAATAAGACTGCAGTTTACTATAAGTTCTTTCTTCAATCATCAAATAAAAATCATTCATAGGATAAAATATAGCAAACAAATTAAAAATCAGTGTTGTATGAAGAAAATAGCTCACATGTTACGCGAGTAATAGTCTTCTTTTGTAGTCTGATTATAATTTATTGTATGAATAACTTTTATCTGATGATTTAAAAAGTATTCCTCATTCAAAGTACAACCCGACTTCAATTATATTACTTAACCTCGATAAAATTTACAAGACCACAAAAAATCTACTCTTTCAGTGAAATCAATCACCAAAATTGATAACTTCAATGCGGTTGGAGCTAAGTTCTGCAAGACCCGCCGCAGAAGAACACAAAAACTCTCCGATCACACTCTTAATCTCATGGCTGTTAGACGGGAGATGAAGCTACACTCACTACTATAGTACAACGGATTTGACAGCATACAGGCAACTGAACAAATGCATGCGGCGGGACTTACGCAACTTCAATACAGCTTGTATTGAAGAAGCGATCGAGCGGAACCAAGGCTCCAAAGTCTTTGCCAGAGATCTGTCTGCCAGAAAGAGCCAATTGTCAAGGCTGAAGACCGAGTGTGGCAGCATCGTTTCCGGGACACCTGAAATTTTGAGTGAGATTGAGAGGTTCTATAGGCAGCTGTATACTTCATCGTTAGAGCCACACGCAAGTGTGAGTAACGATCCAAGAGCGAGTCTTATCCGACACTATTCCGAAGATATCCCGGACGTCAGTCTGAGCGAGATTAGAATGGCTCTCCAGCACCTTAAAAACGGCAAGTCCCCGGGCGAGGATGGAATTACAAGCGGAGCTTTTGAAAGCGGGTAGAAAACCGGTACTTGAAGTCCTTCAGAAGCTATTTAATTCCGTCCTCCATGGTGGCACTACTCCGGAGGCTTGGAGCAGAAGTGCGGTGTTCTTGTTCTTCAAGAAAGGCGTCAACGCTCTCTTGAAGAACTACAGACCGATTTCCCTTCTGAGTCGCGTCTACGTGCTGTTTTCAAGAGTCATTACGAATCGTCTCGCACGCAGACTTGACGACTTCCAGCCTCCCGAACAAGCCGGTTTCCGAAAAGGCTTTAGTACCATAGACCACATGCATACCCTGCGGCAGATTGTACAGAAGACAGAGGAGTATAATCTGCCACTTTGCCTTGCGTATGTGGACTATGAGATAGCCTTTGATTCCGTCGAAATTTGGGCGGTGCTGCAGTCCCTCCAGCGGTACCAAGTTGACTATCGGTATATCGAAGTGCTGAAGTGTTTGTACATTAGAGCTACAATGGCTATCCGAGTACAGAATCAGAGTACGAAACCTATCCAACTGCAGAGAGGTGTAAGACAGGGTGACGTTATATCCCCGAAACTCTTCACCGCTGCATTGGAAGATGTTTTCAAGCTACTGGACTGGAAAGGATGCGGTATTAACACCAATGGCGAGTACATCAGTCACCTTCGATTTGCCGACGATATAGTCCTTATGGCAGAATCGCTGGAGGACCTAAGCACTATGCTCAATGACCTCAATAGTGTCTCCCAAAGGATAGGTCTTAAGATGAACATGGACAAAACAAAACAAAGATCATGTTTAATGTCCATGTCACAGCTATGCCGGTAGTTGTTGGGAGCACTAAGCTCGAAGTTGTTGACGAGTATGTTTACCTGGGACAAGTAGTCCGACTAGGTAAGTCCAACTTCGACCGATAGGTCAATCGACGGATTCAACTCGGCTGGACAGCGTTCGGGAAACTACGACACATCTTCTCGTTAGACGTACCTCAAAACCTGAAAACAAAATTGTACAACCAGTGCGTGTTGCCAGTGATGACGTGGTCCTTCACTGCTGGCCGTATGAGGAAGCTCAAGGTCGCTCAGCGAGCTATGGAGAGGACTATGCTCGGGGTTTCTCTGCGTGATAAACTTAGGAATGAGGATATCCGCAGTAGAACTAGAGTAACCGATATAGCCCAACGGATTAGTAAGTTGAAGTGGCAGTGGGCCGGCCATATAGCTCGAAGAACCGACAACCGATGGGGAAGAAAGGTTCTCGAGTGGCAGCCTCGTACCGGTAAGCGAAGTGTAGGGCGACCCCCCACTAGATGGAGCGACGACCTGGTGAGACATGCAGGAAGTCGATGGATGCAGGTGGCTCAGGACTGTGCTTTGTGGCATTCCTAGGGGGAGGTCTATGTTCAGCAGTGGACTTGTGAGGGCTGTTATGATGATGATGATGATCATAACTTCAATAGTATCAGGCCTCCGTCACTCGCTCAAGGCCCTGCGTTATATGTCTACCATTCTGCGTATCGCCCACGATACAACCGACATAGGGCCGCCGCATGCCCGCCAGAGCGCTCGCACCGAGCACGTTTCCTGCGCTTACTCGTCGAAATGGCGAAACCACGTAATTACTGTGCAGTGGATGAGTGTCAGAGTCAAAAAACAAATGAAAAATTGACATTTTTTTCTTAACTATAAGATTACATCGAAGCCACAGCATAACAGTGCTATGATTTATAAATTGAGTGACAACCTGGACACCCAAATTATATAATAAATTATATAATAAGTCTATAAGTATATATAATAAGTCTTAAATAATAGTTTTATAAATTTTACAAAACATTGATTTTCCTCCGTTTTCCTAATGATTATTTATTAAAATTATTTACGCGATTTAGGATATTTTCAACGATAAGATTTAATAACCGAGAAATCAGCGAAGGAAAAAAAATGTATAAATCATTTTACAAAACTCAAACATATTTGATTGACAAATAAAAATATGGTTATTTTGCAAGATTCGTTTTATTACAATATAATCATCATAGGTACAACCCTAGCGGATTCGTGCGATAACGCGCTTGCACGTGAGGCGCACGGCGGTCAACACAATCTCGACTCTTTATGCACGTACTTATGGTACATTTTCTTCTCGCTGCGAACAGCAGATATTAATAATATAGAAGATTTTGTAGGCTATTATAGCGTAGGTATTTTCGCTTTTGTATGGGAGTGATGTATCTGTTTAGTAAACTATTAAGTAATCTGTGATAGTATGTTAAATACGTGAATAAAATTATATTTGAAGTGATAACTTCCTTCTATTTTTAAATTGTTAATAAAATAATGGCTAAAGTGTGTGTATCTTTTGCAGACTTTGACGCCGCAGCAGATTGATGAATTGACTTCAATTTTGGAGCCGATTAAAGACTTACAAAATGCAGTTCTTGAATTGAATGACGCACTTCGTTTGGACGTGCCTGATATAGACACATCTAAAAGTTGGTTTAGATGAATTAACTGATTCATAATAATGATTTTGATATCTATTTTAGTATTTATATACGATTTTTTTTTCGTTTTTAGGTGAAGATGAGGACACTAGCGAGTATGATAATTTATTCGCTAGTGATCTAGGAGTGGCTATAGTTACCGAAGCGATACGACAAATGGCGGAGATGAGGTAAAGATGATTTTATTATCTTGCGTCTTATTATCAAGTTTCTAAAAGACTGTGTACAACATGTGACTAAAACCCTGTGGATGCGGAGTGATTTTTCTACGAGTCCGTTTAAATTGGCGCGAACAGTCGCGTTAACTAAAGCGATATAATGATAGGTCAGGCAAAAAGTTTCTTCGTATTTTGTTTGTATAAAATCGAAGAAAAATCTTTTTGGTTACACTGTTTATGTTTGGCTAACGTAGATTTTTTAGATATTTTCCTAGAATTCGTATTCGTTTAATTAAGCAAACAAGTGAATTGGTGGTATACCTTTACTGGGTATAAAATAGTGCATAGACTAGATTACTTCCGCTTGGGTCAGGTAGGCTTATGCTTCGAGGCTGATGCTTCGACCTTTTTCTCTCTTTTCGCGTAACGGATTTCGGGCGTGACGACTGCGCCGCCTCAGGCTTATCATTAAATGTAGTGTTATTTCGTTAGTCACTTATAATATAAAAAGAATTGGTTTGTTAATTTCAACGAACATTGAAAATAACTATGTAATGGTGTGTGTTGCAGGGCGCGCGTGGTGCGCGGCGCGCTGGCGGCGCTGGGCGTGGCGCGCGGCGCGGGCGGCGTGCCGGGCGCCGGCCACTGCGCCGTGCACTGGCAGGCCTACCGCGCGCTGCTGTGGCTGCACTCCGCCGCGCTGCACCCGCCGTGAGTACCGCGTGCCGACGATCGTGAACACGATTAATTGGTTAAACAAATTGCCGTTTACAATACATTAATAATCAGTAAGATTGAGCAATTGTTTGATTTACATATTTATGATCCATGTATTATTAAAAAGGTCTGCGAAATCAACGGAAGCGTTCCGGCTAAAGCTGAGCGCGCTGGGTGCGAGTGCGGAGGCGCGCGCTGCGGGCGCGGCGGGGGCGGGGGCGGGCGCGGGCGCGGTGGCGGCGTACGCGGCGGGCGCGGGCGGGCGGCGCGCGCGCCGGCGCCTGGCGGCCGCGCACGCACACGCGCACGCGTACCACGCGCTGCCGCTCATGGCATACCATCTCGCGCACCAGCTGTATCCTTTGCACTCACCTATTTTTCTTTTTATTTACATCAACAATGTTTCTTATTCTAAACTAAATTAGATAATCTACAATAAAAAAAATTACACTATAATAATGCAACCGACACCGTTGACCGCCAATTACTTTTATCAAAAATTGAAATGGTAAAAATACTCATTTGCCTGTCATGTACGTATTTGAACCTGTCAAGACGTGATTTATTGTGGAATTAAGTGGAAATAATTAATAGGATACGTTATGTTAAGGTTTTAAGTTGAAAAATTCGTTAAATACAGATAAATAATACATTCTATCTATAACGGATGTTTTTGATACACTCTCGAAAACGAAGACAGATGATAATACTAAGGATACCTTTGATGATGGGATACAAAGAAATTCGATCCTGCGGAAAAAAATCTTTTCACAACGTTTTATTAACTTTATTAACGTTCCATCATGTTAATACAGCTAAATGAAACGTTAATTTCATTTTTTTTTTTATAGGATAAGGTGACAAACGAGCACACAGTCCACCTGATGGTAAGTGATTGCTGTGGCCCATAGACATTTACATTTATCCTCGTTTGCGAATCAAAATGCAAGATGCGTTGTCACCCGTGAGGACTAAGATGGAATGCCTCTTTTCCAGTAAAATGGGTCTCCGGTTCTCTACACTCATCATGAAAATATGAAAATACTTAACATACTAAACATAAAACCAGCAGTGAAACGGTAGTGGTAGCGCGTATGTGATAGGGAAGGGTAGAGTGAGTAGGCATTGTTTCGCACCGAGCTAGATAAAAGTTCAGCGTCCACGAGAATATTGGCCCTATTCTCAGTTGATTTTATTTTAAGTTTCACTGCTGGTTTTATTTTTAAGTATTTTCATGATTTATTTTAAATGGAATTAACGTTTCATTTAGCTGTACTAACATGATGGAATGTGAATAAAGTTAATAAAATGTTGTGAAAAGATTTTTTCCTTCGGGATCGAATTTCTTTGTAACCCATCATCAAAGGTATCCTTAGTACTATCGTCTGTCTTCGTTTTCGGGAGCATTTCATGAACACCCGGTATTATGCAATGGTTAAAATTTGTTATAAAGAGGTTTTTGATAAATGTATTCGTATTGTAGAGGTATGTTTTGCATTAGCTCTTACGGGCAATTCTAGATAATTTCGATAAATTCGTTAAATCGAGAAATTCGTTATATTGAGTCCCGTTATATCAAGATTACACTATAGTATGTAAAACAATAGGCAGTCTTATCACTAAAATTCCTTGTCCTGGAAATAACTTTTATGTGCAGGCATTTCCAAATTTAAATCTGGTGATTTAACACCTTAGGTGGATCATGAAGGAAAACAAAATTTTCCTTAAGATATGAGGGATATGAGGAATTAAATAACATGCAATGAAAATATAAAATATACGCATGTTACTCAGATGGTTCATAATTTCCTAAACCAAAGAAATAGATGGGCCGTTAGCGGTGGTTTCGAATTTGGTTGGTGGTTGGCTTCAATAAATCAGCCGCGACTTGTTCAAAATTATGTGGCTATGTTGGAACCTTGGTGTGAATGGAACGCTTGCTCACGTAAGTAGCGCAATAATTTTCTATTATTTTTGAAGCGGCATAGATAAACGTAATACTTATATATAATAATCATATTTATTCCCTTTTCGTTTGTCGAGTACTTTAAAATTTATCTACTGTCCTTGGCCTTAAACATTAAAGAAGAGTGTCTATTATAGGAATGGCCTAGAAAATTGAAGATTGATAGATTTGATCGAATTTTGTACTTGGTAGTGAAATTTTAACAGTTTTTTTTTGTTGAAATGGCAAAGTAACTTACAGTCTATGTTACGGCCTACGACTGCTCCCTTAAAGGGTCAAATCCTCTGGGGCCCATGAGCAGAAGACTTCACGAGCAGACGTAGGTCGGGCCTCAATATGGCCACGTGGAATATATCTAATTACACTAAACTATATGGGGGAGCGTTCTATACTACGGCCAGTCGACCGGGAGGATATTAGACGGAGCTTACTTACCTATATCCAAGGCGACTGGTCCCTCCGGAGTCGGTCAGGTCGCATGTGGTTGTGTAGTGCAAGGGAAATAAGGTGATGTGATGTGTATCTGGGTGTGACTGATGGTGATTGACCCTAGACCTTGGCCGTCGGCAGCAGCCCGGGCGTCGACACCGCTCCAAATTGAGGGAACCTTCCGCGGCGTTGTCCACAATCACTTTCCTCGTTCGTCACGATGACAGTCAATTAACTCTATCGTACGATTAACTAACTTACAGAAGCCACTAACTCTCGTTGGGTATAAGGTTAACGCACAAAACGCACGCGGAGTTTCCGGATCAAAGGTCACTACCGTTTCGCGTAGCAACAGTTATTTCTAGAATATCAAAGGCCGCACTAGCTAATATTGCCGAATGCACTTATGCAGATTCTGAGTCAGACACAATGAGTCCCTGGGAAGCTCTCCAGCAGGAATGCGCGCCATAAATCCTAGACCGTATTATGTCCGCGCCTAATTATTCCGAGTTCCCGACAAAAATGACAGCGTGCTAACGTTAGCACCGCTTACATACGACTCCAATGACCTTTACGCGTTCTCAACCCCACCGCTCGAGCGACGTCAAAACCGGTATGGCACCGAGCGTCGCGCCCCCTAGACGTCGATTCCGACAACAGCGTTTGTCGCGAACAGTCTACTTGATGGTAAGTGACTATGGAGAGAGACATTGGAGGTGTCCATACCTGCAATCAATGTCAAACAAAGAAGGCTACGGATGCGAAAAATTCAGAGGGCTAAGATGGAATACCTCATAGCTGTAATTATACTGATTCTCCATACCCTTCAGAGCGGAGCACCGTGCTAACGCACTGCTTGGCGGCAGAAATAAGAAAGAGAGTGGTTCTTTAAATATGTTTGCTGGATGTCTTATAGCGGCCGTATAATTGGACAGTAATCTTAGGTTTCTAATTTGTAAAATAATAATTAGTAAACCGTTTTTTATCTTCATCGTATGTAAAAATAACTAAAACGAAATAAAGTTCCTATGGCTAAAATTTTGAAATTGTATTAGAGTGATTTTTGTACGATTAAAAAACGCTAATCAATTTATAAATAGAATCGAAACAGTTTAATACATTATGCATGTGTATAAAAACTAATCATGATTAATGACAATATTAGTATTAGTGGTGTAAGAATATCCACTACTACATATTGTCCCGTAGGTGTTGTAAGATGCGACAGAGGGAAACTTACCAGGTAGTGGACAGCAGCGTCTTCCTAATAAAAACTAGAAGAAAAAAAAACCGCTTGCCAAGCGAGGCAAACGACAAATCCTCTTATCAGGTACTCTCTGGAGAGGCCTACGTTCTCCAGTAAATTTTGATAGGTTGTAATCATTCAATATTGAAAGAATAACACGCGTTTATGACTAATCAACATATGACGTCTTCATTACTTGCTGAGATGTGAACATAACTGTTGCAGGTCAGTTCATATTGGGGCTGTCACTGCTGGACACGGAGGAAGCGGAGGGTGCGTACACGGCGTTCTGCAAGGCAGCAAAGGGCGTCAGCACCGAGCCCTTCCTGCGGCACCTGGTGGCCGCTGCTGACGAACACCTCACGCAGCACCAGGCGCTCGTGCTCTACTACATGAAGGTACGCGGCAGACATCCGCCATCACCACTAACATTCTTACTTACACTTCAAACTGCTTATTTTGTACTGGTTCCAAGGTGAACAAAAACAGGAGAACTCCTATTTAAAGAATAAAAAAATTTCGAGAGCAAGAGTAGTGAAGTCTACCAACACGCACGAAGTCAAGGTACGTGGGTACCTTACCTGCTCCATGACTTTCAAACTGCATGTTTGAAAAAAATATTTCTTGAACAAAAAAAAAAGACAACTAATACCGCACTGCAGCAGCGGTGTGGACATTTTTCTGTTTCATAACCCTTACAGAAATGAAAGGGTAACCTGAACCCCCTTAAAAAGGGCAAAAGGGGATAAACACAATTTAAATATTGCCATTTTATTTTACGCCTTGCTTGCACCATTAAATGCACTCTTTTTTCCTATCTTTTTTATTCTGTAACCCTTGTTTAATTTAATACTAAACTACAATTTTTTTGATTATGTAGCAATTATTAATAAAACGCATCTCTCAAATATTGATATATTTACTTGCGTAAAAAATTACCATAGTTTTCTTACCTGCGTTAGTTATAGCACACGATGAGTAAAGAAACCTACCAGAAGTAAAGTTTCTAAGGAGCGTTCAAAATGTTTACCTATTTTGGTAGCGTTGACACAACAGGATAATACTAAATTAACAAAACGTTATCAGCTTTTCATTATGTACGTATCATAAGAATTTTGTTAATAAATACTATTGCGCGCCACTATTAATGTCTTGTATATGGCAACACTAGTTCCCACTAGCGCCCTCTAGTGGCGAGTAGCAGAACTAGGAGAGTCAACTGCGAACTGCGATCAGTAGTACATTTGTGTTTTATTATTAGTGTGGTTTTAGATTGTAATTAGTGTTGTGTAATTAAAGTGTCAATTTTGGTGATTCAATCGGCAGTTTTAATTGTCTCGAACCCCAAGCTCGTAACAATACTAACTCTATTTTATAATTTTGTTTTTGAATAATTTGTTGTGCCTTTTAGTTGAATGTTAAATTTTAAATGTATGTTTCTTTCTTAAGTAATCTAATAAAAAAAACACTCACATGATATATACAACTTTGCTTACGTTTTAATATATCACTATCAATATTAATAATGATTATTTCAAAATCAAAATATTCGTGATATTTTTACTCAAGCAATTCATCAAATGCGATAAATATACATAGTGGAACCTAGGATTCCAAAGAACAATTAAAACTTGATATATTTTTATTAACGTATTTCCTTTGAACAAGTTACATATTATTTAATGTACTATCTTCTCTATATATAGAAATCAATTGCTGTCCGTTAGTCTCGCTAAAACTCAAAAACGGCTCGACCGATTTTGATGAAATTTTTTGTGTGTATATATTGTTCTATTATAGTTCATATACATAGTAAACTGATACATACACTTATTCTTTACTCATTTGTTATTTTTTAAATCAAACGCGAAATGAAAACAAGCACCATACACGATGTGTACACCTTGAATTTGAGCACTGGCCGAGCCGGTTTAAAGCAATTTCTCGCTAGTCGCTATACGTGACGAGCCGCTAGTGCTTACGCACGTGCCTTATTATTGTAGCAGTAGTGTACCTATCATAGCGCGGTTGTATGAAGTATTGACTCTGGTCGGTTTCTTTACTCATGAGGTTATAGTCTCAATTGTCATTTTTTATTTTGTTGTAGGTTATAAAGCTCTTTGAAATCCACGACGCTGGCGCTTGTGTAGTGCGACTCGCCGAGACTGCAATTAGCATTGCCGATAAAGATGATCCCAATTTGGTAAGGAAACAACTTAACTATACATTTGTCATTTTTAGTACAGGTTTTTTTTTCACATGGGGAAATGCCTACGCATACCCGCCTCGCGGGGGCACCAGCGCCGGCCGCCCCATAGCAGCCCCTTTTCGGGGGGGTGCCTCTCCTCCCCATTTTCAGGAAAGGCGCACCAGGAACACAAGGCACGCCCCCCTCCACGGCCTCCAACTGCACCTGCGTATCGGACCCCCCCGAGTCCGATACGCGGAGGCTATGGGGCCAGGAAAATCGAGCGCTCAGTAGCACCCGCGTTCCCGACCCCAGTAGCGGATCTGGTCTCTGGCTCCGCCGCCAACCGAGTTTCGGCCGCGGAGGATAGGGAGAGCGGCGCCTCGCAATACTAACACTCCTCTCCTCCCGCGGCCCCACCACCACCGCATTAACAGAGTCGCGGAGGATAGGGTGAGTGGCGTATCGTGATACCAACACTTCTCTTCCTCCGCGACTTCACCTTGGCTGCAGCGGTAGGGGGAGAGGACATTCCTCTCACCGCAGCCCACCGACATACATCCGAAGTGGGCTCGCCAAGCCTGCTCAGAGTGGACACTTCGGGCCGGCCCTACACCACGGGCCAGCCAAGGGGTTCCTCTTTGTTCACCGCGGGTGATCAAGGCACGGCTACTAAGCACCCCCCCCCCACCCGCCACGACAGTGTGGGAACCCGTTCGTGGGGGAGGACAGGTTTATTCATTGGACCGCTTGATTACGATTACGGTACGGACGCAGTATCGTTGGAAAGCTTGTACTATATTAATGCGTACATAACTAAATCATCACGGTATTGTTTAGACGGAAACTGTGTATGTGTGTATGAAAAGGCTTCACACTGCAGTATGTTGTTTTTTGTGTTAATAATATTTTTAACGTTAAATTAACCATTTTTTGCAGCCGATGTTCCAGTGGGTGGTATTCAAGTGGCACTTGGCGAGCGGGCGCGTGGAGCGCGCGCTTAGTGCCGCCGCGGCAAACCCCGCGCCGCACGCGCGCGCCGCCGCTGCTACGCATTTGCTCACCACGCTCGGTACGCACCGCACACACGCACAAACGCACACACGCAGTACTCACGCACACCTGCACACAGCTGAGCGCCGTCGCAGCCAACACTGCATCGGACGCGCGCGTCTCAGCCGCTACGCACTTGCTCACCACGCTTGGTACGTTCCGCACACACACTCACACACACACATACATATACACACACACGCACTTACAAACACATACATACACGTGCGCGCGCGCGCACGCTCACACATGCATACACACACACACACGCACGCACGCACGCGCACATACACACGCGCGCGCGCGCGCGCACACACACATACAAATACACTACACATACTCTGTGTCGCCTTTGACGATACCCACTGGATGATATTATAGAGTAGAGCATTTGTCGGCTCCAAAATCCTGACACGTTGGGCTATTGTCCAGTTCGGTGGTGTAAATAGATGTGTGTGGTGTGTTGTTATGCAGCGGGGCGGCGGCAGCTGGGCGCGCTGGTGCGGTGCAGCGCGCTGGCGGGCGAGGCGGAGCGCGCGGCGGCGGCGCGCGCCAAGCTGCACGACGCGGCCGCGCACAACCCCTACTACGACTTTCTCTACGCGCTGCACGTCGCGCGACATCACTACCGGAAAGGTCAGCCCCACACTACGCAACGTAACATTACACTACTGTTGTCAACATAGATTTAATATAAACTGATATTGGAATAGATTGGCAATGCAAAAGAGAAAGAGCATAGTGAACGCGTATGAAATCCCACATTATTATACATTTAATTCGTAGGTACGAAATTTTTAGCTAGTTTAAATGCCGAAACCGATCGGATTTCGCCAGCTATATTAGTAGTATAGTTGTAGCACGAATGGGTCGGCATGACCGGGAAAGGACTACGCTCTCACATAATACCAGTGTAAAATAACAGCTTCATGCTGCTGTGTTTCGTATGGTGAGTGTAGCGAACCGGAGACCTTTTTTACCGGAAAAGAGGCATCTTAGTCCTTACGGGTGACAATGCATCTGCATTTTGATTCACAAACGAGGATATATGTAGTGACGGCGTAAGAATATCCACTACCCCATATTATCCCATAAGCAACAGAGGCAAACAGCCTCTTAATAACGACTAAAAATAATAAAACTGGCAACTATGGCAAGGCAACTATGAGGCAATCTATGGGGGAGGTCTATGTTTAGCAGTGGATTTTAATAGTCTAACGGTAACGGTGCAAACGGAGACGTACACATATATTATATTGGATGTACATTTTCATGTGTTACTTTGGTGAAAATTGTACAAAATGAGGGAGTTTGTTGGATTGTGTATTGTTTGTTGCGGCGCGCAGCGGCGGCGGTGATGTACGAGCGCGCGACGCGGTGCGCGGCGGAGCAGGGCGGGGCGGGCGCGCGCCGCAAGTGGCTGGCGGCCGCGCTCACCTGCCTGCGCCTCGCGCGCCCGCACCACGCCTTCCTCGCGCGCCCCAAGCCCGCGCCCGCGCCCGCGCCCGCGCCCGCAGACGGCGCCGCACCGCACCTCCCGCTGCAGGTACACCTTACAAAAACATCCCTAGCATTGTGTAGCGTTGCACACCAGGTGTCTGTCACTCTTGCTACCTGCGTGAAATAATTACCTACAATCGCGAGGCGCCCCGGACTACATACGCAGTCGGTGCCAGCGCATTCTAGGCGATTGAATGTTAGTGAAGTTTTTTAACGCTGTTTACGTATATAGTTTTTTTTTTGTAAATACTTGTGTGTTTAACGTATTATATAAATGTTGGATAAAATAGTTTAAAAAGTTTTAATGGAATTTTAAAATAATATACGAGGGCGACACTGAAAGTTTTTAGAACTGGAAATGTATAAAAGATATAATAAAAAATAAGTTCAAATTTTGAAAATGGAACTCTTTGCCAATATTATTGTGTATGTATTTTATTAATTTATCATTTGTTTACGATTTGGCGGCAAATTGAAAATTTTCTGTGTCACGTCAGCATGAATTTAAAACACAAGAAAATTTTCGTACAATGATTATTTATGACATTCGATGTCATTTAAGTCAACAAGAAAGTTATTATTGACTTCGATTGGCCTTTCACGATGAAGCCCCATCTCATGCCACTGTTTACAGCTGGTTTAATGAGTTTAAACGTGGTCGCACTACTCTCATCGATGATCTGTGTGAGGCTTCCTTCCACGGCGACAACTGAAGATAACATCAGTGTTTGCGGCGTATAATAGAGATTGACAAAAGAGTGACTAATCAGCAGCAGCACACATTAGGCACCGGTGAGTCAAGTGCACAAAATCCTCCATGAACATTTAGAGGTGAGGAAGCTTTGTGCCTGGTGATACCTCATAATTTGACAGAGGCCCAAAAACTCCGTCGTGTTGATTGGTGTCGTGAAATGGTTCAAAGATTTAATGGAGGTGACTCTAATGCTGTGTTCAAACATACTTACGGGTGACGAAAGCTGGATTTATTGTTATGATCCTGAAACTAAGAGACTGTCTGCTGTCTGGGCGTTTCCTTCCCAGGAGTTGCCCACTAAAGTGAAGAGAGGTCCGAAGCGTGGGAAAAAAGACGGTGGCCTCTTTCTTCGGAAGGACGGGTCATTACTCAACAATTGTTTTAGAGGATCGAAAAACAGTTACTCCAAAGTGGTACACTAACAATTGTTTGTTACTTGTCTTGGATAAAGTTCGGGAGAAACAACCTTGCAGTAGGATCCTCCTTCACCACGACAACGCCTCGTCGCACACCGCCAAGCAAACAATCAACTACTTGGCGACGTCAGACGTGGAATTACTAGGTCACCCGCCCTATAGCCCCGACCTCGCACCTTGCGATTTTTATGTATCTCCGAAAATAAAAGAAAAACTTCGAGGAAAACGTTTTATGGACGCCGAGGAAGCAGTGGCTGTGTTTCAAAATGCCGTCGAAGAGACCCCTAATGTCGAGTGGGCAAAGTGCATTTCTCAGTGGTTCCAACGGATGCAGCGATGTATTGATGTAAATGGACATTATTTTGAAAAGATATAATAAAACTAATAACTTGCTAGTTTGTTCAGTTTTTGATTTTCTAAGAACTTTCAGTGTCACCCTCGTATATGTTTGTTACCTATCTATTTCAATAATTATAATGGCAAAACGTTCCTACTATAATCGTTGCGTGGATGGATACTTAATGAGCAAACAAAATAATTCAGATATATCATTTATTAAGTTAACGAAGGATAATGTAAGGTGATTTTATTTCATTTATTGTTAGATAACTTATAGCAAAAAAAGAATTAAGTATTAATTTAACTACAGAAGTAATACCTAAGTACTTTATTACAAAACTTAGTCGAAATTTACTTCACTATCCTACTAACATACCTGTACTTGTCGTTTGTAAATAAAATATTTTAAGTTATAATAACACAAAATGAAAATAAAACTTTGTTTACAAAAATTTTAACTAAATAAAATTTGGTCAAATTTCTGTTAGGAATCGTATTTCAGGTTTATTTGTTGTTTACACTATCTACCTATATCGCGATTTCCCGACGTTTAGTCTGTTTGTTGCAAGTTGCATGCGTTAGGCATCACAGAAATCAAATAGTAGTGGAAATGTGGTCAACCCTCCACCTCCCATGGCCCCACTGACCCTCAGGTCATACGGGCCGAATCTTGGGAGATACGCGCGGTACTTGCACGTGGCTCTTTCCCGCGCGCACTTTCTTGACTCCCTACAAATATTTCATCTATTCCTTGTCCCAAATTTAACGTCATTCTCCCTGTTCTGGGGCTGACGGCACTATAACGCCTACGTCTTCCGGCACTCCTACCAGCCTTCTATCTTCCCTTGTCCTGCGATCGTGCCATCTACGCGTAATCTCGCGCAACAGCCCGTAGTTCACCACATCGCTGACGAGATCCGAGTAGTAAACTGGTCCCTGAACCGGACGATCTAGTCCATCCATCATTTTCACTCTTAGGTCGTCATACATTCTCCCATAGAACATGGTGAACATCCTCCTCTGGCATACCACACTCACACATAATAATTTCATACAGTTTCATGTCGCTCATTCTCTTCCGAAAGCATCCATGTCCGGTGAGAATCTGAGAGGTTTGGTAGTCCGGTGAGACCCAGGTATACCTGAGTCTCATCGCCACGTCCGGGAAAAATCGATGTAGCTCACGTCCTTTGGTATCACTCGTCTATCCATTCTGCCAGGTGCCGATCACCTCAGTCCAGATTTCGCGCTGCCGTCTGCTCAACTCCTCTTTGGGAGCGGCCAGCAAGGATGACCTCCAGGTCAGCAGGGAGAACGCTAGCCAGCACCGGTAAGGCCGCCGTGCTAGTGGATCGGCACGCCTTGGTCAACAATACAAGGGCGGATCGCTGCGATCTCAGTAGTACGCTACGAAGTGTGTACATGTCGCACGCTCGTACCAGCACTCTGCCGCGTACGTAAGCGTGGTCACAAACACTCCTCTATAGATTAGTTTTAAACTCTGGTATCGCACACCCCTTGATGATGATTACGATACGCGAGTCATTTTGCCGAATCCCTTGGTCGCTCTTTCAGGGATATCTGATGCATGTTGCACAGACGATAGTCCCGAGTCCAAAACCACGCCTAGTACCTTAACGTTAGTCATAGTCTTAATAGATTCCCCACGAAGTTTAATAACGGGGGGAGGGGGTCTGAAGTTTACCTCTCGTTCCTGATTCAATCAAGATTGTAACGCCTGGAGGTGAAGTAGTCCACCTTTTTATAAACGTTTTAGCTTCGACCATCATCATCGGCCACCAGGCATTGTAGAAGGTGCCGGAGATATCTAAGAAGATTGCTTGCACGTAGCATGCCTGAGAATACCTTGCCGTGCCTTTATGTACAGACAGCGCAGTTACTGTAGACCGCCCCGGAGAAAATCCGTGCTGGTACTCTGATATCCCGTGGCTAATTGCGGGAGCACATTTTAAAATTACTCGTTCCAATAATTTTCTCAAAACAGGAAAGAGCGTTATTGGACGGTATGCCTTGGCGTCGGTGAGAGGCTTGTCATTACCCTTGGGAATGACAATCTGTCTTTTTTTCCTTCCATACATTGGAGAAAAACCCCCTCTTCCACACACTTGGCATACATCGAGTGAAATTCCCTCGGTGCCGCAATCCACACATTCCTCACGATTCTCGCACCCCATCGAGTCCCGGAGTCGTGTTGGGCAAGGCCTTGACTATACCACCCAGGTCCTGAACCGCAAGTGGAGGTGCAGCTCCACCAGACGGCATGAAAGCCGCCAGCAGACGAACCTGCCGGTAGTAAGGTGACTCGAAGTCAGTGCTGTCATACGGACAGAGCTCAGACATTTTTTTTTCTTATAAGCCCGTGCTTGACCACAATCCCACCTAGTGGTAAGTGGTGATGCAGCCTTAGATGGTAAATCGCATTGTCTTAACGTAACAAAAGCCTATTCACTCTTGCCTTGAAGACGCCTAGATTGTATTCGGATGGAAAGATAGACGCCGGCAAATTATTCCACTCCTTTGCTGTACGCATTACAAAAGACGAAGCAAACCGTTTGGTTCTAATGCGTGGAATATCGACAACAAAGGGATGAAGACCCGCCGACCGTCTGGTTGTCCGATGGTGGAAAGGAGACGGAGGAATTAAGGCGTGTAATTCCTGCGCACACTCACCGAAATGCATCCTATAGAATACCGAGAGACTGGCTACTCTGCGCCTGTGCTCGAGGCTGACAAGATTGGTTTCAACCAAATCAAGGTCACCAATGAGCCTCTTAGCACGTCTCTACACTGAGTCCAATGCTGCCAGGTGGCATTTTGCAGCACCAGCCCATATGTGACAGCAGTACTCCATGCACGACCGGACTTGCGCTTTATATAAGGTAATAAGCTGCCCCGGTGTGAAGTACCGCCGCACCCTTGCAAGGACACCAAGTTTCCTTGCGGCTGCTTTGGCTCTGGACTCAATGAACCGCCCATATTTTAGGTTCGGAGAAAATTCAATCCCTAACAACTGAAGGCGGTCAGTGTACTCCAAGGATACATTCCAGAAAGTAGGAGCCAAGGTGAGCGGGCTCCTTTTAGCGGTAAAAAGACACGCTTATGTTTTGGAGGCGTTAAATCTCACGAGATTGGCATCGCCCCATTCGGAGACTGCCTGTAGTGTGAGACTCACACGCTCAACCATAGCCTCTCTTTCTGACTAGATTTGATCCCGACTGGCCTGGGCGCTTGGTTGGTATCTCTCTTCAACTGTGCTGTCTTCTGCATACCCATAGACACCGGGAATGAGCAGATCATTTATATGCAGCAGGAAGAGAGTTGCGGAGAGAACGGACCCCTGAGGAACACCGGTGTTAGTCGCCACAGTATTGGATGAGCAGCCATCAACGACGACCCGGAGAGACCGTTCACTCAGAAAGTCTTTCACCCAGACAATTAAAGCCAGGGGATAAGCCGTACGCTGAAAGCTTGCCCAATAGACTAGCGTGCCAAACCCTGTCAAAAGCCTTCGAAACATCGAGGGAAACAGCAAGTGCTTCACCACTGTTCTCGAGGGCTTCGCCCCATATGTGAGTGGCATACGCTAGAAGGTCCCCAGTTGATCGATTTCGGCGAAACCCGTACTGGCGATCACTGAGGAGATCATTTTGCTCTAGGTATGCCATGAGGTGGGCGTTCAATATACGCTCCATAATCTTGCAGAGTATGGAGGTAATTGAAATTGGCCGATAGTTGGCAGGGTCGGCACGGCTACCTTTTTTAGGCACAGGCTGCACATTGGCCAGCTTCCAAGATTTAGGCACTATTCCAGTCCGGAATGAGAGGCGGAATAAGCGTGTCAACACAGGAGACAACTCAGGTGCACAGACCTTTAGAACTATAGCTGGTATACCATCAGGTCCACTAGCTTTGTTCACGTCTAGACTTCGCAAGGTTTTAAGAACCTCCTTGTTGGTGATACGGACCTCAGACATAGAGATACCGCAGTGAGGTAATTGAGATGGTACGCTGTTGCTCTGTCCAGACGCGAATTGCAAGCAAAAAGAGAAGCAAATAAGTCCGCTTTCTCCTTAGGCGCATGCGCCAGTGAGCCATCTGGTTTTACCAGCGGAGGCAGTGTAGACCGACAGAAGTTTGTCTCGACCGCTTTGGCGAGAGACCAAAAAGCCCTACTGCCAGATGGTTTGACAGAGAGCTTTGTGCCGATGCGTTTAATGCGGTCGAAACTGGCTTGGCATAATGTCTTTTTGCACGACTTGGCGGCTTGGTTAAAGGCTCTCTTCTTAAGGCTAATATTCGGAGCTTTACGGTCTCGAGCATCGACCCAGGATAAGTACGCCATATGCTTGTGCTTTTCAGCACGAGCGCACTCGGCGTTAAACCAAGGGCGAGCTTTACCACCAATGGGCACGTCAGCAAAGAGGATGAAATACTCCATCGCTTGACGTATCATATTGGTTATGGCAACCGCGCAGCTCGATGGGTCTCTAGAGGAGAAGCACACCTGCCGCTAAGGATAAGATGCAAAGAAATGCTGCATCTCATCCCAATCTGCTGACTTGTATCGCCACATTCGTCGCACTCCATGGAAATCGTAGTTAGGTGGGGTACACAGATTTCACCAAACAATGGTCAGAAGTTCCCAAGGGTGATGTAACATGAACATCGTACCTGTCTGGATTACTTGAATCCTGATTCCCTACACGTATCCCCTGGGTAGTGCTAAACGGGCAGTACTACATACTGGTGGTAGGTTGGTCCTCTACTAGTGAGAGGCCCGGCTGAGGGTTAGTTACCACCCACCTGGCAAAGACATACCGCCAAATGATGCAAATCGTGTTCCGGTATGATGTTAGGTGAAACCCATTTCTTAGGGAGAATGGGTCTGGACAGTTGCGTTACGCATACGGACCGGTTGCGACGCGGCCGTTTCTTAGTGTCATGTGCCTGGTTATGGAGGTTAGCGGGATCCGAAGCACGGTTGCACCGCTAGCCGACCGTAGATAGTTGGGGGCCCAATTAATGAGCCAGCCACTCATGAAAGGCTGCCCCGCCATCTTACGAAAAATCCTGGGATGGCTCCACCATGCCGGTTGGCGACCGCAGAGGGCCTGGTGGCGATTTCCAGGGCGGTTCGGGCGTCCCCGCGATCTCCATGCTAGGTACCATCGATGCTATGACTCTGTTTGCGTCCCTAGGTTATATGTGTCCAACTGTATCGTCCAACTGCCATTCTCTTAACCTATTCACTCCCACCATTAATGAAAAAAAGGAAAAAGAAGAGTAAGTTTGTACAGCGCTTGCATTCCCTCTCCATTAAAGTGCACCTCACAAACATCCGAGGCCTGCACTGTAATCTCAATGCAGTCCATTACCACCTTGAGACTGACAAGCCGCACTTACTCTTCTTGACTGAGACGCAGATTAGATGCCCTCTAGATGCGGCGTACCTTGCCTACCCTGGGTACACATTGGAGCATAATTTCCATCAGCACGCCTGAGTCTGTGTTTACGTCCGCAACGACAACTGCTGTAAGCGTCTCCGTCACCTTGAAGACTCCACTTTGGATAAAATTATTTATTCTTGTGTCTACCGATCGCATAGCGGCGACCAGGAGACAACTAGGCTGTTTGAACACCTCAGTGAAGCCTCTGATGTGGCTCTAAATCGGTACCCTAATGCACAGTTGGTTTTTCTGGGAGACTTTAATGGCAGGCATTCCTGTCATCAGGACTGGCTGTTCCCATACCAGAAGACCGACCACGCTGGGAGAGAGGCGTGGAATTTTGCCTTGTCGCTGGGGCTCTCCCAGCTGGTACAACAAGCGACTAGGGTAGCTGATGTGGATGGGCACACAGCCAACTGCCTCGACCTTCTGCTGACGACCGATCCAGATGAGATCCAAATTTGTGCATCGCCGCTTCCGGACTGTCCGGGTGTCCACCCGCAAAGGCTCCACTGATCACATTTGCAGGCAGACGTACCCTCCCGCTGGCCAGACTGAATACAAGGCCCCATGGGTCCTCATTGCCAGAGTTGGCAACCTTCCTCTGCTGCGACTTCTGCGCCTCCACCATCATCTTCCTATATCTCGTACGCACACTATGAAAAGCCATCCTGGATAACTCCTCAGACCTACCTACCAGACGCCTTTTACTCTGCCAAGCACGCCTAAGTTTGCATTGCAACTTCCGAGTTTTGTCTAGTTCAAATGTTCACTTTTCATACCCCTCCACTCCTTAGGGCGACGCTCCCCTAGGCCTTCCTCCGCATAGCGGATTACGACCCCTGAGAACTCCTCCACCAGGAGAGTCGCGGGTTTTTCCACGTGCAGCCATCCCAATCGTAATTTGACCATCGTCCGGAAGCACCCCTCGGTCACGAAAACGGGGAGTATCCCTAACGGGTGCTGCGCACGTAGTCGGCCTGTTGGTAGTGGCCCTGTATGTGATCAAATTATGGTCGCTGGCGTAGATCCCTCATGCACTCGCCACTCAGCAATGTGGACATCTCAAATGGACAGCGTAAGGTCCACATTCGACTCTCCTCCAGGTCCACAGAATGTATAGGGCTAGTCAGGCTGATTTGCCAGTGTTGGCACCTGTGAAAATATGAAGTCCTCCATCAACTGTCTTCGGTACACTACATCCTGACCTCTTCCCGCGTATAGGCGGCGATCGCAATGTCAAAGTGACAAGTGCGCATTCACGTCGAGGCCGATGATAACCCTTCTGCCTTTCATATAACTCAGGGAGACCTCTAGGTGGTGCAGGTGGTCATGGATGGGGTCGCTAAATTTGAAGTACGCTGACACCACGTAGAGGTCTCATTGGTTTACGTGACACACCACACAAAACTCGATGCTGAGGTGAGTCAGCACAGCTGCTCCAAATGTTAGGTCGGCAAGATAGACGCCAGCCCACGGATGACCGTGCACCTGGACGATCCCCGCAGCCTGGGAGTACTGTTCTTCTACAAGAACAATGTTCAGATGCAGTTCAGGTGCGCCAGGATATGCAACTCAGCCGTGGCAAGTTCCCTCCGACGAAGGTTTATATGTCCTATATTAATTATCCGATCAAGTGTTAGAGAAGGGGCGGAAGGCCTTATCGGCAATATTGTGTGGTGGCCACGGAGCGTTGCTCTGCGTATAACCTTGCTGGGCAGTTCCTCGCCATGGTCACGTGCGAGCCAGAGTCGGGATGGCCAAAACGCTTACATGTGGCGCACTTCTCTTCTGTGGCTTTACAAGCCCACGCTCGTGTCCCGTCTCCCCACATACGGTGTCCTTAGATCGGCAGTACTTAGCCGGATGCCCCCATACTGGCACTTCTGCCAGTATGGGGGCAGATATAGTCCTAGCCTACACATAGATACAGTTTCCTTTTTGTTTAAAAAAGTTTGTGGTTAAATACATTTTTTATCTTTAGGTTATTGGTCCAGAAGAATTGGCTGCCGAACTACGGGCAGAAGATCCAGAATCCATGGATCCAGTTCAATTGGCTTTACAACGTACGTATTCTTTATATTATCATCTCATACAATCATCAACATATTCTCTCTATTAATAGCTAAATTACTCGTTATACACTAAGAAGTGAGTAATGGTGAATTTTGAGATGACATTGTGATAGGTTATGTATCTATATTCAAAAGTAAAGAAAGTAAAATTTATAATTAAATCAATTAAATTAGTAAAATAGTTTGTGGTTTGTTGTGTGGTGTCTTTTACTCTGTCAATTATTATGCTCTGTTTATGTATGAACAAAATTATCAATTTAATAAATAATCAACATTCTTATTACTATATAATCAGTTTGAGTAATATTTAATGTTTTTGCTGCTGGAAAACTTTGAAATATGAAATGAAAATGATCCAATTTTATTTTGACAGGCCATGAAAGTATAGATTTCGACTATTTGTACCCGCATCTAAAAGAGGCCGATGGGGAGACACTGCTGGCAGTAACAAAAAGGGCAATCAGCACTGAACAATTTTTGCCGAGATGGTTCCTTCTTCGATTTATGGTAAGATAACAGCTTCATAATAGAATACCCTCTAGTATAAGAATTTTACACTCTTTCAATGCATTTAAAACTCAACTTAGTATATAATTACGGATCGATCACTTCTGGAGAAATGAGGGCATAGAATGGGTATATCTATATATTTGTCACTGATGACGACGAATTTGGTATGAATGTGTTAATTAATATTGTTCCCAAGTGAGTGATATACGTCTTTATTGAGAATAAAATTTATTTAAACCTAAACCTATATATTTTTACATCAAATTTAATTTAATTTTGATAAATATAAATGAGATTATGTAATGGTTGGTGGTTGGTTACCGTCTTTCGGCTTAGTTTCTTAGAAAAAATATTCTAAAGATTTTTCCAAACTAATAGTAGTTTGGAAAAATCTTTTGAATATTTTTTTCTAATATGTTTTTTCCTAACCATCGAACCAAACCTTTTTATTTTCGTATCTGTACTGTAAGTAGACTGTCGTCAGGAGTATAAGTATCTCCCGTGTGCTTCTCCTCGCATACTTACCGTCTTTCGGCTTAGTTTATTGACCTTCAAAGGTATTTCAAATATGTAGTCACCTACTGTTGCAATAATCTACCTTTATCACTGTATAGTTTAAGTACATTAGGGAATTTAATGAAATTTTTAATAATTTTTTTTTCATTAAAAAAAAAAACGTTACCCCACACTAGGATTTTCTCCTGTATCGTGGAGGCAGTTTACATACACAAATTGCACAAGGACAAACATCCAGACCCGGAACAATTATTTGTAGGCCATACTAATACTTGTTCCGTGCGGGATTCGAACCCGCGCCCCCCAGCGCAGCAACTCATTGCTAAGCCACTGCGCCACGGAGCCGTCAATGAATAGATGTTACTCTTTATATATCTGTTATTTATTATTAAAAAACATATCATTCGCTTAGTATTGTTTATAGCATGTCTCCTATAGGGAATGGATAAACAATTGCTCCCTCGCACATGTACGAGGGGTGATCCAAAAGTAATGATAATGGAAATAAAACACGGTAATTAAAGTTAAAATAATAATTTATTTTTCTACATAGTCTCCTAACACCTTTTTTCTAATCCTGTGTTTAGAAAAAAGGTGGACTAAATGTATAATGAAAAATAAATACCTTTTTTCTAAACACAGGATTCCCTTTGAAAAAAATTCTTTGTCTTGACCCTCCCAAAACGCTTCAACAGCGGCCATTACTTCGCTATCGTCTTCGAATTTCTTGCCTCGGAGGCGTTCCTTGAGCCGAGGAAAGAGGTAGAAATCACTAGGAGCTAGATCTGGCGAATAAGGAGGGTGTTCGAGCAGTTCGAATCCCGTTTCTTGAATGGCAGCCATCGCAACTGCGGCTTTGTGAGCCGGTGCGTTGTCTTGGTGAAACAGCACTCCAGCTCGCAGTTTGCCGCGTCTTTTTTCCTTAATGGCCTCCCGTAATCTTGTTATTTGGTCTGCGTAGTAAGAGCCCGTAATAGTGGCTCCCTTTTCCAAATATTCTACCATAATTATGGCTTGAGCGTCCCAAAAAACAGATGCCATAACCTTTCCCGCCGAACTTGAAACTTTGAATTTCTTTGGCGTCGGTGAGGAGGCTCGCTTCCAAGTCATCGATTGTTGTTTCGTTTCAGGATCAAAATGGTGGATCCAGGTCTCGTCCATAGTTACAAAACGTCTTTATTGAGAATAAAATTTATTTAAACCTAAACCTATATATTTTTACATCAAATTTAATTTAATTTTGATAAATATAAATGAGATTATGTAATGGTTGGTGGTTGGTTACCGTCTTTCGGCTTAGTTTCTTAGAAAAAATATTCTAAAGATTTTTCCAAACTAATAGTAGTTTGGAAAAATCTTTCACAAAAAACAAAAAATTTTCTTGATCTGCTTGGAACTTTTCGAGATTGACCCAACGCGCAGAGACCTTTTTCATATGCAACTCGTTCGCAAGGATTCTTTGAACGCTACCATTTGAGATCCCTGTGACCTCAGCTACATGTCTGATGGTCATTCTTCGATCTGCCAACACAACATCTTCGACTTTTTTCATGTTGTCTTCAGTGAGGGACGTGGATGGGCGTCCTTCGCGATGTTCATCTTCAGTGGATGTTCTGCCCAGTTAAAACTCCTTAGCCCAGCGTGCAACTGTAGAATATGGAGGAGCAGAGTCCCCACAATGTTTCCACTAAGTCACTGTGTATGTCTTTTGAAGACATTTTTTTCAAACAGAAGTACTTGATGACAGCTCTAATTTTGTTTTTCTTCATGTTGATGTTATCTCTTTGACAGTTCGTATTCAAATGAATGTATCTCCCGGAAATCGTGATCTATTTATATGATTTTTTTAGGCTGACGTAGTGAGTATATAAGCAAGCAAAAAATATTTTTTTTGGATTTTTATGCGGACCTGAAGTAACCGATTATCATTACTTTTGGATCAACCTGGTACTATCGCTCGTTCAAATTTGTTCAGTCGACTGAAAATCAGTGCTGCGATTCCACAGCTTATGTTGAGACGATCCTGTGAATTTTGTTTTCGTTTTTATATTATATTAATATGTATGTGCGTGTATGACTGTGTAGTGGTAGTGTTGTAACAATTTATCGTTGTGTGGGTATCGTAAGCGGCGACAGAGGGAAACAAATCTGCATACTTAATAATAATCGAATTGAATAATTTCATTATATAAGTCTGAAATTTTCTCGTATGACGCAATCTATGGGAAGGCCTATTATATTCAGCGGTCGACTTTTAATAGACTGTAATGGTAATGGTATATGTGAAATGTGCACATAGACGCGCATGCTGCGTCTATGTGTACATTTGTTGTTCCGTTGTTTTATTTTTATTTGCAATGTGTGTTGTGTAGGCGTGTGTGAATGTGTGTTGTATGAACTAGGAGGTGGAGGCGGCGACGTGCATCCGCGCGCTGCTGGCGGGCGGGCGCGCGCTGGAGGCGGGCGCGGCGTGCTGCGAGGCGCTGCGGGCGGCGCGCGCCGCGCTGCCGCCGTGCGCCCGCGCGCCCGCCGCCGCGCCGCTCGCGCCCGCCGACCTGCTGCTGGCCGAGTTGCGCGCGCACCGCCACCTCGCGCCTTGTGCACAAGTAACTGTCCTACTCGCTATACTACTGCACGGCCTCTGCGGACTCAATGTATCGCGCACTAATCTACGCTCAAGTTTTTGGCTTGGATGAGCTTGTATTTTAAGCCATGTCTTCATGTATCTCAGTATGAATTGATAATAATCCTTTATAGTATACTGCTTCACAATATGTTGATGCATCACATTACGTAGTTTTTGGGAAATTTTGGCGGCAACTTGAACCGGCAGACAGTTGGCGATAGTATCTCAAGGCGCCTAAGCACACAAACACCTTATTTTGAGATTCCACCATCAGAGCACTTGTTTCACCGTTTCTACTAATAGTTCACATGCGCTGACATTTAATACACAAAATCGCACCACTTTTACATATAAAACTCCACTTCAAACTATTATTTAAACAATAATACAAGAACGGCAATCCGCCGCCGGTCAAGTTCCTGCCAAAACGCCCACCACGCTGAATGGCTTGGTTCCCGTTTAACCGATCATGCAGATAGATCTGTTTATGACTTTACCTTGGCATTTGGTCTAACACGACTGGTTACTTCGCCTACTACGCGGATCCCAGATGTGGAGGATCATGTACCTTCCTTGTTGGACCTTCTGTTGACTTCTCATCCGGACGGATATCAGGTCTCCGTCGATACCCCTCTTGGCTCTTCGGATCATTGTCTGATCCGGATTATAGTGTCACTCAAGTTCTCATCGCAGTTGCGATCTGCAGCTTGCCGCCGTGTTTGGAACGGAATGCGGTCTTTTTTTGCATCCCACCCTTATGGGCAGGTATGCTTCTCGCCGGATGATTCCACAGTTGTTGCTGATTCTGTCACTGATGTGGTACATTAACACTCGGTGCGCAAAGCACTCCTCTCCCTGGACGTCACCAAGTCGAGTGGGCCTGATGGAGTCCCACCTATCGTGCTGAAGACATGTGCTCCAGAGTTAGCACCGGTCTTAACCGGTACTCCTACTCCCTAGGCGTAGTCCCGAACTCATGGAAGGACAGCTTTGGTGCACCCGATTCCTAAAAAAGGTGACCGCTCAGATCCGTCCAACTACAGGCCTATCGCTATCACCTCCTTGTTCTCCAAAGTAATGGAAACTATTATTAACTGCACGGTCATGCGGTACCTTGAGGATTACCAGCTGATCAGTGATCGCCAGTACGGTTTCCGTCGAGGTTGCTCAGCTGGTGATCTTCTAGGTTACCTAACTCATAGATGAGCGGAGGCAGTAGAGTCCAAGGGGGGAGTTTGGACATAGCGAAGGCCTACGATCGGATTTGGCACAAAGAGCTTCTTTCGAAGCTGCCTTCCTATGAGCTTCCCGAGAAATTGTGCTATTGGATCACCAGTTTTCTTGCAGATCGGAGTATCAAGGTCGTAGTAGACGGTGCATGCTCCGATTACAAGCCCATTAACGCTGGTGTTCCACAAGGCTGCGTGCTATCACCAACGCTGTTTCTTCTATATATGATGAATCTGATCAATGATATGTTGCAAACCGGTAACATTCATTCATATGCAGACGACAGCACTGGTGATGCTTTGTACACCGGCCGTGCCAATATTTCTCGGGAAAACGTTTCCAACTACCGGAACAAACTTGTGTCTACAGTCGAGACTTTGTTGAACAAAGTCTCAAACTGGGGGCGACTAAATCTAGTCCAGTTCAATCCCCACAAGACACAAGTTTGCGCGTTTACCGCTAAAAATAACCCCTTTGTCATATCTCCTCAGTTTCAAGGCACTCCCCTTGTTGCCTCAACCAGTATCGGAATCCTCGGTGTCGACATATCGAGTGAAGTGCAGTTTCGTGGTCACTTGGAAGAGAAGGCCAAATTGGCTTCTAAAAAGCTTGGCGTGCTCAGCAGAGCGGGACTGTATTTCATGCCGGCACACCGCTTGCAAGTTTATAAGGCGCAGGTTTGGCCTCACATGGAATATTCCCATCTCTGTGCAGGGGCTCCCCAGTGCCAGCTGTTTCCACTTGAACGCATCCAGCGCAGAGCGGTTCGAATCGTCGACGACCGAGTTCTTTCCGATCGGCTTGACTCACTGGCACTGCGTAGAGATGTTGCATCTCTTAGCGTATTTTACCGCATCTATCACGGGGAGTGCTCTGAGGTATTGTTCGGACTAATTCCAGCCGCTCAATTTCACCATAGCACATCGCGACAAAACTCGCGATACCATCCATACCATCTGGATGATTGACGGTCCACCACTGTGCGATTTAGAAGAAGTTTTCCTCCTCGCACAACCTCCTTGTGGAATCGATTGCCACCAGCGATTTTTCCGGACCGATACGACTTAGGGGCCTTTAAGAAAAAGCATGCTCCTTTTTAAAAGGCTGGCAATGCATCTGCAATTCCCCTGGTGTTGCAGTTGTTCATGGGCGGCGGTATTCACTTACCATCAGGTGAGCCGCATACTCGTTTGCCCCTTCTCCTATAAAAAACAAACTATAATATATATAATGGTATTATTTTGTTTTATATTTATATACTTTAATTTACATTTCTGTCTTTGCACATTTCATAAACCTACTACATATTTTTATTTCTGCATCACCCAAAGGTTGACTGGTTGAGAATGCCTCAAACAATAAGTCCGCCTATACATAATATTGTATGAAATTTATTTAAATGAATAAATAAATAATGACTGGCATAGAGGGAATCATACGAAAAGAAAATTCTTTTAGTGAAACTCTTTATACACATGACGTTTTACGTGGTACAAAAAGATAGATAGCAGCTACATTATTCTCACCATTTTCTTTTACAAATTTGTTGCCGTGTTTCCATTCCATAGAGACACGTCTATTGAAGTACGTTAATAGAAGCTTCATCTGACATCTTACAACGACTGTGAAATGATGAATTCTGCACTGACTTGCTAATTTAAAATATATCATGAAAAGTTCACTACGAAATTTACTTAAATTCAGCGGTATATTTCTGCCAAATTATCCCTAGATCGATATTATGGGTTTCACAGAAAAAAATTACAGTAAAAATGTTACCAAGTACTCTTTTGAAATATTTTTATTTTTTGTGTTTGTCTTATCGACACCGGGTTGGCTTCACAGAACATAAACAGAATGACACTGCTACGATATTATAATAAATGCGGCACTGTCTCCTCTTTTCTCGATCTGTTACAACTACCAATAAATCGATTACGAACGTATTACTCGTTTACCTCTCTGCTCCCTCAAGATATTATCCATGCCATCAAAAACATAACTTATATCTCACAACTCAGTTCTATCGTAAAAAGTTGTGAGATCCATGTAATACCAAGTCGGTTAATTTATTCAGTCCCTACTTAAGGGTCCTTCTGTCTCATGTTATTACGTAATTAGCTAACCTAACAACATTTTATATAGTGACCATATAAATATTAAAATTCTTTTATGTTTTGAATAAATAGATTGACATGGCTTTACAACTTTTTTTAACAAGTTATGTTTTTGATGGCATCTCATTTCGTTTTGTAGATAGTCCTACTTTTTTCCGTTCCGGTACCATCTACTTCTTGAATACCAACTACGGATTTTCGGGCAAATTGTCTAGTTTACTTAATACTTTGCGGGATTTTGGTACAACTTCATAAGACATGTCCCATTTTTGCTTTTTCATTCCGTTGACCATTTTACAAGTTACCTTTGAACATACACATTATATCTTATTACACCAACATTATATCTACCTTTATCTATTATTCCATTATATTATACGTATACAGGTACACTGATTCATTCACTGTAAATGTAACTTTGTAATCCCATATATTTATATGGGATTACAAAGTTATTTATACAGTTGGTGTATCTAGAAAACTGGACCGAAATTACAAAATATTTTAGTTTTTCCTTGATTTATACATTAAACATTAATTCTACGTCTGCTAGAAGTGCTTTAGAGTTTTGATGATCGGTCAGTCTGTGAGTGAGTGACAAAATTAAGAAACTTTGACTAGTTATAATTCTTGAACTACTGGTTCAAATTGAATGTAATTTGAAATATACCGTGTTTATACCATGCATGCTTGGTTACAATTTTTTTATTATATAAATTCAGGCTTCTAGTTTTATCCACAACGAAGTTATAAGGGGTCGAAAATGGCCTGAACTGCTTCGACAAAAGGATGGTACGGCCGTGCCGCTTTTTTGCTCGACTTGGCGGGGGCACTGCCGTGCCCCCTGATCATTCATTCATATATTGCAGCCTATCAAGAGTGCACTGCTGAACTTCGATCTTTGCCATAGTTGCCTCTCCTAAGAGAAGCAAGTGGGTTGGCAACCGCAATTTTTTATTATTTTGAGTTGTTATCAGGAAGATACTGCCGCCTATCTCCTGTTTGCCCTCTGTTGCCGTTTACGATACTCACGGGCTTCTAAGTAATAATTATTATATTATTCGGTAGAAGTTAGTGGATTCTCTTACGCCGCCGTTATACGGCATCATCAAGATAATGCCTTCACTTCATGATTACGAAATATTTTCATCCAATCTGATATAGCTTTCTCGATATTTTTATTTTCCGTTGATCAAGTGGTAAATCAGCATATAAAATTGGGTTATCAATGGAATCAACTCTCTTGTGTATCATGTGACTGTATTTGTTTTGTATCTGTTTTTACGTGGTAGAGCCATGCTGCAGCTGTATTAGTGGTACAGTCGTTACACAAATGGGTCGGCTCGACCGGGGAAGGACCACGCTCTCACAGAATAAAATAGCAGCGTAACGCTGCTGTGTTTCGTATGGTGAGTGTAAAGAACCGGATACCCTTTTTTCTGGAACCTAGGCATTCCATCTTAGTTCTCACGGGCGACAACGCATCTGCATTTTGATTCATAATCGAGGATAGAAGTAGATGTCTATGGGCTACAGCAACCACTTACCAGATGGACTGTGTGCTCGTTGTTCTTCTAAAAAAAATCATACCTCACTAAAATTTAAGTCTTTAATGTTTGCTACTTGAATTTTT